AAAATAAAGTAATATTAGAAGATTTTAAGATATTTGTGCCCTACTGAAGTACTACACAACTCTCTCTCTCTCTCTCTATGCCATATATATGGTAACTTATTCTCATTGTTTAAATAAAAATGTTTGCAGGTTCATACGACTACCATTAGCCTTGGCGCACCAACCAGTGTTGGCCATGGCTCCCATCAATACAGAACTGATACTCAGGTAATTTTCATAATGTTTCAATTTGGTGTTCCAGTTAGGGAACAGGGTCTAGATGTAGGCATTAAGGCTAGTTATGGATCAAAATGTCACACTCCCTGTCTTATCAAGAGATTTCCAACATTCTGTGTTGTTGCAAACCATATTTGGCTAAAGGACAAAACCTCCAGTGGAATGTGCAACTACAACCATGGCCCACAATTGTAAAGGTAGGTTTAATGGTACTTCTAAGTGAGATTCCCCTCTCTCAACAAGACTGACTGGGATTTATGGCAGTGTTTGATGTCTATATTTTAGTATTATTTGTATTGAAACACAAGGTAATAAGACCAAATCCAAATAGTGTGACGTTTCTGTAACAACATTGTCACTTAAACATCACACACTATTTATTTATTTGGATTTGGTCTTATTACCTTGTGTTTCTAATCTATAATCCAAATTCAAGAAAATAAGACCTAATCCAAATAATTTATTAGTGTGTTGGATTAGGTATTTGGATTAGGTCTTATTTTATTGTATTATCTATAATCCAAATTGTGCTTTATCATTTATAATTTAAACAACAACAAATTGTGTGTAGACATGTGGTGCACAGTAAAAGCAGTCGCCTACTTCTACCCACCATGATTATCATGGCCTGTACCACGTGTACTAGGGATAAGCAAAAAAAAATCTAAATTGTACTTAATATGTATTATTTTGAAAAGTTATGCTTGCTCTAGTCAAACCCACTTCCAACATTTTTGACTACTATCTCTTGCTAAGTGATTATTGTTAGAGTTCTTAGTTATAATAAAAATTCTTACAAGTACCTATACACCAGACTACAATACCTTAGCGTACAAAATTGATCTTGCACACTGCTGTGGTCCATCTTGCCTCTTCATTCCACCACACAGCTTCAACATAGCTAGCCAGACAAACTAGATGTGGTTCAGAAGAAATAAGATGACTTCTATTACACAGGTGGTTTCAAATAGTGGATGCTGCTATGTGACCAATATTGTTGCAATCTACAACTTTCTTTGGGAAAATGGCTGAGGAAATTCTGGGGTCTAGAGGTGACTGCTCATCCCTTGGAACCTTGTAACAATATCCTCTTGATTATGGTAAAGCTAGAGGCTGCCTGGCCAGCATTCATAGTTCTTAAAATAAAAGACACTAAGGCCAGTAAATCTTTTTATTGTCTCTACTGTTGCGGAATATCTTTGAATATATTTATACATCTTTTCCCCATTTCCCGTGATATAAAAAGATTTACTGGCTGAAGTGTCTTATTTTAAGAAATATCCTCTTGGTCTTAAGTGATGATGAAGTTCGACCGTATATAATCAAAACAGCCAATGGACCATGGAAAACCAGAGTAGTTTGTGAAAAAGCTTTTAGAACCACAGCTGAAAGAATATCTGAAGTGGACATCTCTCCCTAACAGACACTTGGGCTCCAAAACTAAGTGTTGTTCTTTACAGAGGCATAGTTCCATTGTATATTAATATTGCTACGTGGAAAAAAGGAAAGACAAACTTCAGGATGACACGGCATTTTATTCAAGGCAGAAACAAACTATGAAAGATAAACAACGTGGGAAGTTTACATAAAAAATGATACTCTTTTAATAAAATACTTTGTTACAATATAATCAAAACAGGAGCAATGATAAAGCCAATAGACCATGAAAAACCAGAGTAGTTTGTGAAAAAGCTTTTAGAACCACAGCTGAATAAATATCTGAAGTGGACATCTCTCCCTAACACTTTGGCTCCAAAACTAAGTGTTATTCTTTACAGAGACATAGCTATACTGTATATCAATACGATTCATAAATATAATCCTGAAAATATTGCGACCTCTGTAATTTGATTTGAAATTGCATTGATTGCTGCAACCAGACTGAAATAGGCTGTACAGACCAGAAAGGGAAAAAGGAGGACAATAGGAGAAGGAATAGATCTCCGAAGGATTTCATTTAACAAGGACTTGAGACTCAAAGTCGCCAACCTCACACTTAAAAGGAAGAGAGCACACACCTAACAAAGACATCTATTTATAGACAGAGTAACAGGTCACTGGTTAAACAATGTAATTCTATTATTGTCATTATTTAGAAATGCACAAAAATTGTCAATTTCAACAGAAAATTAAAGAAAAAAAAAGGGAAAGAAAAATGACCATATTTTTATCTCTCCCATCCTCAGATAAGCCTATGACACAGAATTCAACCTACATGAGAATGATCTGGTTAATACAAATGAAAACACCAAAAATCGAATGTTTCGCGTTTTCATTTGTATTATATAGATGGCGTGTTATTGCTATGTATTAATTTATGACTAACTGGCCTTGTTCTTATTGTTTGCGGAAGAGCATTGATCGATGCAAATATCTAAAGGTAATTCTACTGCCCTAAAAGCTTATGTCCATAGTTTGCTTAAATGCTTAAATACCATTTCTAAGATTCAACCCTTTAGTGTTGCATATAAAAGCAGAATGATCCAATACAGTATTAGAGCTCTAAAGAAGAGGTCTGGTAGATTAAATTGGCGAAACCGCTGGGAGAGTTCACCACTAATGAGCCAACCCCTCCCAATATATTTTTTTATCGCAGTAAGGACAGTAGAAGTTTGATTTATTTGTCTTCTTCTTTCTTATCTCCACTCAATCATATTAGGATATCAAGTTGTGACCCTTGATGGTGTCTGTTTGGCAACCATCATGACTGGGTGAAGTAGAATGTGTCTGCCTTTTTCATTAAGACTGGGAGCACTACTCAGTGGTAGGCCGACTCAGCTCCATAAGAAATGGCCACCTCTGATATGAGGAACAGACGCCATGTGCATCCTCTCCTAACATGGAGTACAAATGCTGCTCATCCTGTATCCCTGGATTAGGAGCCCTTACAGGGTACTATCAGCCGGGCCAGCTGAACCCAGGTTTTTTAGCGAGCTTGTTACTGCTCCCCCTCCTCCTTTTTCATCCGGGCTTGGGACAGGCAAAGGCGGAGTTTTGATTGATTTATTTGTGAAAAGAAACATTCGCGTTTTGGTTTTTTCATTTTTTATTATATAGGTGTGTTATTTCTGTGTATTAATGATCTGGTTGTTGCAGCACAAACCTGGCCATATGGAACTCCTCCCTGGTTAGCTCCGGACTCTTCCATCCTGTCCAGATCCTTGAGACAGAAGAGCTTACTACAAAGGTCATTCTGGATGTCCCCAACCAGTAACTACTTTACATATCCTCTCTATGTACATAGCATTGTATCAGCTGACCACCCGCGAACACAAACTCATCCTGAAAGAAGAGAGTATTGTTGATGAGAGACCCACAGGCTATCCTGACAAATGCTGATCCAAGCATAGTCTGATCTCCAACAGCTTCGTTTTGGAGTTCTTCAGTTTATTGCTGAGAATTCCTTAGACCTGTGTGCTGTTTATTTAAAGCCTCAGTTTTAACAGTACATATACATACACTCATGGACAAAACTTAAGGAAGCTATACCTTTTAGCATGTGTATATCAGGATTCAGACAATAACTCTGAAAGATGTTTGATACACAGTCACCTTTATTGAAGACACGAGATAACCAAAGTTTACACAAAATTGTCTGTCTCCTTAAAAAATGATAATTGTCAACAAGTTAAGTGTATATGATTTGCTTAGATCTTTTTAAAGGTTTCATTACCAATCAGTAAACGTTATACAGGGCTGCTAATGTAGCGGAAGAGGTTTTGGAAGTTTCCATACCTCAGTATAATTCTGCCATTTGATTGATTGTTTTTATCAAAAGTAAATATGATTGCAAGATTACAAATGGATTTCGATATAAACAATAATTTAGCTAATCAACTACATTGAACATAGTGTGTTCAACTTTTATATTATATTTATAATAATTCTGATTTTTTTTTTTTAAATAATAGTTTTATTTTCTATAAAATAATCCCTTGCATAAATATTGAGCAAAATCAATCATTCCTCCAGGGAAGAGTGTCTTCTTCAAAAAACATTTTATTGTTCTCTAGCTTTCGGGCACTGACGCCCTTCTACAGGAGAAAACCATGTAGAAGGGCGTCCGTGCCCGAAAGCTAGAAAACAATAAAATGTTTTTTGAAGAAGACACTCTTCCCTGGAGGAATGATTGATTTTGCTCAATAGTTTTATTATTGAATTGTGTAAATACATAATTAAATGACCTTGTAAAATTACCTTTTATACCTAATAACCTAATAACCAAGTTTCAAAATTAGTTATAAATTATTTGTTTTGTTTCTTTCAAAAAATGTATATTATTAAGATTATATAAATTGTTATAATGTATTTAAAATTATATTTTGAAGTATTTAAACACTAGAGGTATAACAAGTTCTATATTTTTGAACTAATTCAGTAAAAGATTGTCTCATACTATTTGATGTTTTGTAACAATAATTGCATCAAGTATAATAGAGAGCTATTATGCAAAAATGTTATGTGTGTATGGGTTGTTCCCCCCTCCATGATTTATTCCAGACAACTCCAATCATCCTCTAGTATTCCTTCAGTTAGCTCTGATTGTGGGATTTTGTTACAATGTGATGTCAGCTTTGGCCAGAAACAAGTCTTCTATAGGGTTTTTTGTGCTTCTGTGTTTGGTATCGAGTAATGGTAACTGTCTGAAAAAGTCTGGTGGCTGCTTGACCAGACATTGGGGAAGCTTTTTGAAGTATCTGTTTTGTTGGGTTAGACCTTCTTATTTTACTTGCTTAGCAAAGTTTCTGAAAAAGCTGGTAGCTTTGTACGTACCATGGTCTCTGGATGGCTTAGTTGCATTCTGTCAAGGATGCTTTTGAAGTATCTGTTGTTGGATTGGACTTTGTTGTTGTTTTTGTTTAGTAAAGTTCTTAAAAAGCTGGCAGCTTTGTATGTACCATGGTATATCCAGGTCTCTGGATGGCTTAGTTGCATTCTGTCGAGGATGCTTTTGAAGTATCTGTTGTTGGGTTAGACCTTGTTGTACTTGTTTAGCAAAGTTTCTGAAAAAGCTGGTACGTACCATGGTCTCTGGATGGCTTAGTTGTGTTAAAATTGGAAGATTTTTATAAGTTTTTAGTATAAGAGAAGAAGAGAATTATAAACATAATTATGCACTGCTTTGGGCACATTGTTTAAAATCGGGAGGTTTTATACTTTTACGTTGTTGTTATTGTATTTTAAAACGAAAATCACGAAATTTCTCTTTAATGGCTTATAAAATGCTAAAAATTAAGAGAAAAAGTTTTCTTTATTAAAATATATATGTTACAAGCTTTCGGGCACCAAGCCCTTCTACAGGTACAACGTATTGTGAGAAACTAAAGCTATATATAGAATCGATCTGTGAAGAATCTTCATATTTTAACTATGTATGAGGCAAAGATATCAAAATAAGATATGGAAAGAAGGCTTTTTTAGAAATATTTAACAAAATATAGGATATGGTAATTGACAAAATTAAATTGTGTGATAGATTTAGCATACTACTAATAGAACTATTGCGAAATAAAATAACGCGTGATCATCCCTGGATGCCAAACAACTGAAAAAATACCATACACACCGTAACGCTAAAAAGTATTAACAGGGAGGAAAATAGGTTTGACCCGCCATCAGCGTAATCCTCGGATTATGAAAAATAGGGGTCGGGGGGGGGGGGGGGGGTTTGCGGGGGTTATGGCAGGATCAGGGGAATGAAGTGGCCGGCCTAAAGATTATTACATATATCTAGGTACTGTATTGGTATATCAATGTGTCTGTTAATACTGTTGTTACTGATGGATAATACTGCTTCGATAATTAACCTTTGATATTTGCTGTTGATATTAGAGTATAGGGTGGTAGGGGAGGATAGATTGAATGAGTGGCCAGTAGTGTCAATATGGTTGAATATAAGGGATCTATTGTCTTTGTTGGTGATACATCTACCGTGCTCAGTCATCCTGATGGCTACAGACCTACCAGTCTCGCCTATGTAAGACGCGCTGCAATCGTTACATGAGACTGAGTAGACCGAGCCACCAGAGGACTGAGCAACGGTAGATCTGGGTAGTCTTGTGATAGGATGTCTGAGGATGGTGCCAATGCTTTTGCTATTAGAAAAATAGGTGTTGATCCCGTGTGTTCTGAGGATGCGGGAGATGGCGACCGATTGGGCGGAGAAGGGCAATAGACAACTGTTTCTGCTGACTGTAGCAGGCCTAACGGAAAGAGGGTTATATCTAAACTTATGTATAAAATGGGGAGGGTATTGGGATAGGGCCAGCTGTTTTATGATTAGAGAAAATTCAATAGTTCTGAATAGGGGATGGGAGCAGTGGGTGACCAATCTCTTGGTAAGAGTTCGAACAGTATTTATTTTATGTGATAGGGGGCATGAAGAATTGAAGTCTGTGTAGAATGTGGGATTATTGATCTTGTGGTATACGGTAGTGTGATAATGGGAGGTGGTACGTATAACAAGTATATCCAGGAACGGCAATACAGACCTGTCCTCCAATTCTAAACTGAATGAAATTTCTGGATGATAGGAGTTATAATAAAATAATCTTTCAATGTACATCAGGTATATTTATTAAAAAACAAAGATTACTTAATAGAATCACGCATATATATATAAGATTTAAAAAAAAGAGGTATTAAAGAAAAAAACTATATATGGTTAAAAGGGAGGTTTTTAAAAGTATATATAACTTTATACAAAAAACCTATTATGCCAAAGTCCCAGATTATCCTAACCTACCTCGGGATCCAGCCACCCAAGTCCAGGATTCGAAAAAGGGGCCGTTAAGGCCGCAGCCAGCAGCCTGAGCCCTCCGCAACTCCAAATATATATATTTTTTGCTTTTGGTTTCGCTCCATTTTCTAGCCCTAGAAGAAGGAGGCAAATCTTTTAAATGTTCTTCCAGATAATGTTTGGCATATTTATTTGTAAATTTGATCAAATCTTGTAACAAACTTGTAGTAAAAAAGAGGAAGAAATAGTCAATAGGACGGGTAAGGGAGCTAGGGAGGTGCTGAGGACCAGAGATCTCTTCAAACAAAAATGGTTTTGGCATCGTGTAAGGTGGAGAAACACTCACCCAAGGAAGGTCAGCAACATCCACTTCATCTTCTTGAAAATAAATTTCGGTGTCTGAAGAACTGCTTGATTCTAAATCTGAATCTAGATCATAAACCTCAGTACAGGAGTCACTTTCTGAGGACATTTTACTAAAAAAATATTGGTTACAAAAAGAACCAGAAAAATCTTGCAATTGACTGGACAGGAAGGAGAAATGTTTAGCTGTAATATGACTTAACGTGAGGCCAGATATGGGGAGAGGAAGTGGAGGGGGGAGATCATGTGATGTGACAGAGTACTCACTTGTAATATTGAGGTTTTCAAAGTGCTCAGTTATGACAACTATACCTGCGTTGTCAGTAGACCTTGGAAGCATGTTATGTAACTTGTCACTCACTTCGAATATATCCTGAGTAAGGAGTATAGCTTGACCCTTGCAGCCATACTGTCCAAAGCGGCCACTATATCTGACAATTTTTACAAATGGTATGATCCTGGACAGCAACCGTTGCTCAGGCTGGGAGAGTTGAATAATTACTTCAGGAATGGCTCCAGGATCCAAGCTGTTCCAGTAAGCCTTTGATGGTGGAGTCTGCTTGCTGCTATTGACATGTTTGTTACAGCGGTGGCACAGCAACAATGTTGTCTTCTGAGCTAATTCAGCAGGAAGGTAGGGAGCTTTGCTTGTGCTGACTATAAGTTGTGACCTGATTTGGGTATGTTCTCTTGGTGCATATTTCACAAATGCTGTCGCAGTAAGTGTTAAAAGTGTTTGTGAATGTAGAAATATCAGCGTTGTGCTTTAATATTCGCAGACGATCCTTTTCTAGGCAAATTTTACGTCCTGCATCTGTTTCAATTGCGCTTGATTTGGATTTAAAATGACGATCGTTTTCTAGGCGAACTTCTAATGGAAGCAATAATATAATTGTCACGTGGAAATTGAGGTCTGATGTGTTATTTGGAATATTTATGGTAATGTCCTCATAGTACAAATATTGAGGTCTGATGTATTATTTGGAATATTTATGGTAATGTCCTCATAGTACAAATATTGAGGTCTGATGTATCATTTGGAATATTTATGGTAATGTCCTCATAGTACAAATATTGAGATCTGATGTATTATTTGGAATATTTATGGTAATGTCCTTATAGTACAAATATTGATATCTGATGTATTATTTGGAATATTTATGGTAATGTCCTCATAGTACAAATATTGAGGTCTGTATTATTTGGAATATTTATGGTAATGTCCTCATAGTACAAATATTGAGATCTGATGTATTATTTGGAATATATATGGTAATGTCCTCATAGTACAAATATTGATATCTGATGTATTATTTGGAATATTTATGGTAATGTTCTCATAGTACAAATATGTTAATATGTTCTTTTTTGAAATCTTCTTCGATATTTATTATTTTAATTGTGGGAGACCTACCTTTGGGGAGACTTTAGGAATTACTTTGATTTAAGATGCTCATTTTCGTTTATAAAATTTACGATTGTGTTTTCATTTTCTATTGTGGGAACTTCTATTGTACAGCCTTTTTATTAGGAATAGCGTTGGCTCTAACAATTTTTAAATTAGTCAAAGAAATATTTTTCTTAAGGAATTGAACAATATTAGTGTTTTCAGGGAGTTTAGATTCGATTAATATTTTTCCTATTAAATTGGGAGAACTTTTGGGTTGGGCTATGGGAGTTGGTGTAATCAGGATATTATGGTAATATCCTCATAGTACAAATATTGAGGAACTACACTTGTCATTTAGAATAGGGGCGTGGAGATAGGAGTAAGCAGGGACAGGAAAACAGGAAGGGATCCGTCCGGAATGGACAGGAAGTTCCTGGAGGAGATGGAGGTCGATTTTGGAAGAAAGAGCAGTGTGAATAGAGGAAAAGAAGCATGGGATAGACCTATTGCAGTTTCGCTGTAAGAAGGAGAGCTTCATTGTAGGCTAACAAAAGAGTGGAAGCCCTCCTCGGCTTTTTTAAGATGGTCCGATGGTCCTGTTGGCACCTGAAACACTTGGGCTTCTGTGCGGTGGAGGGACACTCACTCACACTGTGTTTGTTACCACAGTGGAGGCATTTGGGAGACGCTGTGCAACCGGGTGTTTTGTGTCTGAGACTGCCGCATTTACGGCACGGAAAGGTGGCCCTGGTTTTGGCGAGATAGGATTGCATATCCAAAGAAGATCCTGGATTTGTTGTAGAGGAGGGATGCATTGATAGGGCCAACCTCGAAGACAGCGTGTTTTGTATTGGCACCTGCGTCCATCGTCCGAACCAAGTTACACTCGTTATCAGAGTTTTCTAGGCCCGAGAGGAGGTTCTCAGTGAGAGAGCATTCTGGGGTATCAGCTTGGATGTTAAAAACCGTGAATCTTTGGAGGAAAGTTGGCGGGGGGATAAGTTTAAGTTTTAACTCAGAAGCTAGGGTAGAGACTTTTGAGATCAGGTTGGCCAGGTCTTCTTTGTTTTTAGTAGGGTAATTTTTGAGTTTGTTGCACTTACATAAAGAATGGGAACACCAAGGAGCGTAAGGGGAGGCGGGAACCTATAGGAGTCGGGACCTCTGCATCCTGAGTTAGGGTGATGTGATAAGGGTTGTTGCGGGGGGCAATGGGGCGGATATTGGTTGGCCTAGGGTTAATCTTAGCTGCAATGGGTTCAGGTGTGGGCTGGTTAGGGGTGGTAGAGGGTCCACATTTTAGTAGTAGGGGGGAGGTGAGTAGAGGGATTTAGTTGGGCGGCTAAAAACAGTGAGGATGAGAATTCTAATTCATGAATCCTTCGGGTGTAGGAATCTTTGAGGGTGGCTAGAATTTTGTCGAGGTGTGGCATAACAAATGCGCCTAGATTGCTGTCTGTGTCACTGATATGGTGACACAGCATTGTACAGTTGTTGGCCGCCCAATCAAATGCCTGATACAAGGATTTCGTGTTAGAGGTAATAGAGTAGGGCAAGGAGGGTGGAGGTGAGGTTAATGTAAAGTCACGTGGTGACAAATTAAGGTCCTGTTCTGGGCTTGAGTTTGATGTGGCTGATGGGGGATGGAGAGGGGTGGAAGCACTTACCCCAGGCCGGCTGCTATGAATGAGGTCATCTCCAATTGTTGGGTCCAGTAGGGAATCAAACATTCTGGTGAGGACCTCCTTGTAGGCGGAGTCAGAGTTGGGTGAAGAGGAATCTTGGGAGGAAGACTGAGAGCCCCCCGGTGAGAAGAGTGTTGATATTCTTCCCACACGCGGACAACAAGAAGCAGAGGCAGGGCTAGATGTTAACACCGAGAGTGATCGGGAACAGCCCACGGGACAGAGGTAGAGGCCATGACACAAACTTGGATGCTTATCCCCGAGACATGGAGGGAGAGACTGTGCGTGAAAGACAGCAGCCGTCTGTCGATGGCCACACCCTACAACCATCTGCTGCTGACCCCCTGCCAAAATCTGTCCTGTTTTCCGGGGTCGTCTATAAAGAGTCCCTGGGGGCCCCACATGGGCTCTGTCCCTGCCACCAGCTGACCGGCCACTCTTTGGATCTTTATTTTGACCTCAACATTTTTAGTTTTACATACAAATAGGGGGTTTAAATACAAATAGTATATATACAAAATATGGGGTGGTAGTAAATAGAAATAGTGTACATTTTAATAGAAGGGTAGGATCTTATATGGTATAGGCTTTAACTAATTGGAATATATGTGACATATACTAAAAGTGTCATTATTATACAGTTTAAAATATACAATAGAATGTGCCCCCAGGATGAAGGTTTGTTTGGGGGAAATGAAATAACATGAATGATGACCTAACAAACCTATTATAAAACCAAAAGAAATAATTTGGGCACAAATTAGTTAAAATTATTATAAATATAGGAGTATAAAATAGGACAATAATATAATGATGACGTCTCAATAAGATATAGAATCTGATGAAAGAAATATACTTAAGTAGTTTCTGCCCCTAGAGGGGTTTAGGGCACCATAGGGATTGTCATTGTCAAAGGATGCATTGCCTGGGGGACTCCGCCTGTACGGCCATAGAACTCACGCCCCTGATTCTGGTAATGGTCGCATACCATTCGGTCAGCAAGAAGGGTGCTATTGCCCTCATGAGGTCTTGGTGGGATAAGCCCTCCGTTAGGGCCTCATTTATGATGGGGTTAGTTAGCCCTAGTTTAAGACCCATTTTCACTTTGTGCCTATAGTACTCTCCTATGGAGAGTTGGCCAGTCAGTTTATATGACATGAAGTCACTGAAGGTGACTTCGGAGGTACCAGGGTAGAGGTCTATCGTCTATTGAGAGGTCTATTTTTTTTTAAATTAATGTAATTGAAATTTAAGAAAGTTTCAAGTAATATTTTAGCTGTATTGTTATCTAACTTAAATGTTTTGCATTTGTTGTGAATAATTTGAATATGGAGTGTTTTGTCATTAATGAATTCGTTTATTAAGCTGTGAATTTTATTATTAAGGTCTTCTAAACATATCTTAGAGTAAAGATCTTCAAAATCAAATGTATGAATTGTTTGATCTTTGGTAGATTATTCGTAAAGAATTTAATAATTATTAGAATCGATGGATTTATAATCATGTTTGTTAGTTATTTTATTTATTATGAATTGAAGTGTTGAAGCTAGTTTCAAATCTATGTTTTTTATGACTGAGTTTTATTCCTGACGAGATTGTTCTGAATGAGATTGGTGTTTTGCCTTCTTTGCCTTCTGCCTGCAGGAGAAGAATTGGCTCCGCATCTCTTGTGGAGATTTTTTTTTTAAACTTTCTTCCCAGGCTCTCCTTCAACTCTATATCTCAACCAAATCTGTTGAGACTGTAGGGCAAACCCCCTTGGAGCTCGTGGTGGAGTTGGTGTTCTGCCTGAAGATGGTGATTTTATCACCCACCATGGGCTTGTGACTTGCCCATAGGCATGCTGGAGTCTGGCTTGACTACAGGGAAGGGGTGTCTGAGTCCATCTTGGACTCTGGCTTGGGTTCAAGTCAGCCACAATGGGACATGTGGTTCGACCACCAGAAAGCTCAGACCTGCTTGGTAGGGCCAGGTCATCCATCACAGGTCAGGTGGCTTGACCACATGAAGGGGTGTCTGAGTCTATCTTGGACTCTGGCTTGTTTCTGGCCACCTTTGTCCATGTTGGAGCACCAAGAAGGAGTTGTCAGATTAGGACAAAAATTGGTGTATGTAAAGAGCATGTATGGGTGGAAAAAAACGATTGAAATTTCAGAACAATTTCCTCCCCTTGCCAGAGTGAAAAATGTGTTTAATTCTAAATCATATCTGTTCATAAAATATGATAAATATGGTTTAAAGAGTAAAGTAGTAGTAGTAGTGGTAGCAAGAATACTGGTAGTAAGAGTAGTAGTGGATTAAGCATTTGACTAGCATTTTGATTGAAATATATCCGTTCTCCATTCTCAAGATGCACAGCTAAATGGATAACAGCTGGATGGCGCTGGTGTAAAGGGAAGCTGAGAAGACGCCAAACAGCTTCATTGCTTCTTATGTATCTGGCACACTGATACATTCGCACCTCATTTTAAGGGTCAGGACCTCGACCTTCTCTGCGTAAATTAATAATAGCTTGATCACTGCCCTTATTGACATATTTGCAAATATATTTTATTGCCTTAACAGAACTACAGTTCTCAACATTGATATGCGCACAAAGCATCTTCGATAGTAATGGAGAATAAGGCACCACCCAACGATTGTCAATTGTGACCTCTTCGCTTCCACGTATTTTAACCTTTGCAGTAAAGCCACCTGCTTCAGGTGCGCGTTTCCTATATAAAGGATAACCATTCTCATTAGTCTGGGTTTCCAACAAAAAGTTTAGGATATTTTTTAAAACAGCTACTATTCTTCATGCAGGGGGACACAGGGTTGTACTCACCGCAAGGCCCATGGATCATATTCTTAACCACAATGTTATACAATAGTGGGTCTTGAATAGGATCTGGAAACTCGGCACATAACAGTGTCTGAGTGGGACAGAGCTTATTTGCTAGCCAAACTAATATGTGCGCATGAGGAAGTCCCCTTTTCTGCCATTCAACAGAATACATCCACGCAACTGTTGCTCCATACAATTGGCCTTTTGTTAGAGCCCCAATAAATTTAAGTAATTTTTGCCGAAAAACGCGAGCTGTGATATCATGCCTATCCAGCTGTTTTTGTCCTGGTAGCAACGCTGTAGATATCTCTTCCCAAGAGGGGTTACTTGTAAAAGTAATAAAAGATTTGGACGCCCAAATTCCGAAAATAACAAAAAGCATCCTGCGTATATTCTGCCAAATACCTGGGACTATTGACAAAACTTGATGGTAAAATTATCCTTTGACCCAAGCTATTAAGGTCAATATTTGCATCAGTTGACAGGGTATCGCGCAAATGAATATAATAACTCTCTGCACTCGTTTCTCTGGTGCAGCGTAATATAGCGCAAACGTTCACTTTCTACCTTAGCATACATATCGACCAGGAATTGATGAAAGAGCTGGCCAAATTGAACAATGACATTTGGACTATTTCGTCGAACCATAATAAAATAGCCATAAAAATCCATAGAAGACACTTTACTTGACAAAGGCTGTCTAGTGTTTGGGTCGATCTGAGGAATATGAAAAGAATATCCTTCCTGGCCTTTCCAGAAAATTAAAGGATATTGAAGGGCATCATAAAAACGATGAGTGTCGATAACATGTTGAAGTACATTATCTCGCTGACCTAAAACAATGTCACGTGAGCCAAACTGATTACCAGCTAAGACAACCGCAACCTCATTAGCTGTAGGAGCATTATACCGTGTAGGATGTTGACCAGGAGGTGTCCGATCTGCATTTACAACAACTCTGTATGCATCACTCAGGAGATTTTCAAGTGCAGTTTTAAACTGTTGAACCAGTAGATTGCGCTGGTGCAACATGCGCTGCAAACCCTGTACGATATAACGACGTACTCCCTGTATTTGCCGACATCTTCGATAAGTCTGAATATCATCATCATTATTGTGACATTAACTTTTAACTTATTTTCTTCACCTTCATTCAACTTGAACGTTTTATAAATTTTCTGGGCCAATTGTCCAATCGAAGCCATAAAGATCGCTACTTGGACTTCTTGTGGTTTCTTTTCTAATTGTACAGCTTTTTCGTACCATATAAATGCTTCTATCCACTCGTCCCATGCTTCTTTTGATGATTGCTCCAAAGGCTTAGGCGGCTTTAAGAATTGGTCAGCCATTTTTACACGAACACTAAATTATTTTAATTATATATAATTATAATAAAATTTATAAATTATAGTCCTCCTCCACTTGAAAGTGAGCACGCATCACCCCCATCAGCATTTGTTGTAGAGTTTGAAGAAAAAGGTGGAGAAGGAGGAAAGTAGCCATTTGGCAAATTGACCGGGCATAAAGTCAGGACCATGGGATTTTTTAGGATTGAGGGCCCGTAGAGCTAGGTGGAACTCGAGAATAGAAAAAGGGAAATCAGGTGAGGGAGGGGAATAGGGAGGGAGGGAAGGAAGTGAGATGTGCGGGAATTAGGAGGAGGCTCTGAAAAGTAGATGTCCAGGATGTCCTTGAGGTTATCAGGAATTTTCTGTTGAGTAGTGAGTGTTTCTAACCTCCTCGAACAGAACGGGTTGCGCACAGAGATCCCTCGAGAGAAATAGCGGTGGATAGGGCCCCAAGGATTATTGGTGAATGAGGAGCTAAATTCCCGGAAGTGCCTTCTCTTGGCATTGAGGATGGTTCTAATGTATTTGTTTCGTAGTCTTTCGTAACCCTCACAGTAGCTTTCGCGGAGAGGAGGAGCGATGTTTTTCATCTTCCTGCCAAGTCTCCTTGACAACGTTTTCAGTCTCTGGAGCTCAGGGTTCCACCAGGGGACGGGGGGAGGGAAGGAGGCGAGAGGAGTTTTGGGGGTAAAGGTCTTACCCCTGAACCTTTGTCAAGGCATTACATTTTGTATTAACAAAACTCGTCTCCTTCTGGGAGTTGTCTTCAAAAAGGTACTGGAGGTCCTGGGACTTCTTGGTCAGCTTCTGGGCATCTTGGCTCTTTCTCAGCTCTGTGGCCCTCTGATGGGATTGGGCTTGCACTAGCATGCTCTTGAGGGTTTTACCCAGGATAGGGAGAAGTACTATCGGACGGTTTTGGGAGGTGAAGTCCTCAGCATTCAAATTCTTGGGGACCAGCACAACTCTGCCTACTTTCCAGAGCTTGGGGAAATAGCGTAGAGAAAAGCATTTGTTGAAGAGTTTGAAGAAAAAGGTGGAGAAGGAGGAAAGTAGCCATTTGGCAAATTGACCGGGCATCAAGTCAGGACCATGGGATTTTTTAGGATTGAGGGCCCGTAGAGCTAGGTGGAACTCGAGAATAGAAAAAGGGAGATCAGGTGAGGGAGGGGAAGAGGGAATAGGGAGGGAGGGAAGGAAGTGAGATGGGCGGGATTAGGAGGAGGCTCTGAAAAGTAGACGTTGATTTGATAGCTGACAACTCTCGCATCTGCGTATATATTTCCGGACTTGAGTCCTCATACCAGGCCAGTAATAGTCACCCTTTAGCCTTCTCATAACCTTTTTGACTCCGAAATGACCACCAGTAGGGATATCATGATGATAACTGATCACTGCTTCCCTAAAACCTGTAGGAACCACCTTCACCCAGGTACCCTTTTCATTTTTTGTAACAAGGTATTTATTTTGTAACCTGTACTCCCTGTTATTATACCTTTCTATGCTACCCGTTTTTGATTTTGTTAACCTATTTAGTAATGGGGCCCACCCTTTCTCTTGAAGCAAACCTTCCCATATAAGGGGGGCCGATGGTCCTTTACCACTGCGGCCACTACCCTCCCATCTTGTGACAGGTTTGGATCATCCTCACACGGGAACCTAATAAGAAAGTCGGCTACCGTGTTTTCCTTCCCCGGGACATAAATGAATGTAACGTTGAAGTCTTGGATGATCTCTGCACACCTAGATAGTCGAGCGTTCTTATAATCAGACCCCTTATTATAAGTAATCGGTGTATGGTCGGTATGTACTTCTACCCTACTGCCCGCCAGGAGGTGTTTAAAGGGTTGTAGGGACAACACTACTGCATAAGCCTCCTTTTCTATTGTAGAATAGCGGATCTCAGGACCTGTCAGTCGCTTTCTATAATAAGCAATTGGCCTCACTGTCCCATTGACCTCCTGTTGGAGGCAAGCGCCTACCGCTATTCCACTGGCATCAGTGTTCAGGATGAAAGGTATCCCTATGGTCGGGTGAATTAATAGTGGCTCACAGGTTAGTTATCCTTCACCATCTCAAAGGCTGTCTGCTCTACTATACCCCAAGCAAATCTCTGTCCCTTTCTTAATAAGTTGCTCAGAGGAGCCAGGACCCCACCTGCGTTGGGTATAAAGCGTCGGTAGTAGTTAACCGTACCCAATAGACTTCTGACTGCCTTGATGTTATGAGGTCGTTTCTAATCCCTGAGAGCGGCGACATTATCCCACATGGGTTTGATCCCATTTTGGTCAATTACATGACCCAGATACTCTACCGAGTCCCTGAAGAAACAGCTCTTCCCGTATTTGGCCTTCAAACCGAACTTACTCAGGCGTTCGAGTACAGCGGCGAGGTCCGCTACATGCTGCTCGTGAGAGTCGCTGTAGACAATGACGTCATCGATGTACAGGCGAACGCATTTGAACAACAAGTCACCCAGGACCATGTTCATGGCCCACTGAAAGACTTGTGCCGAGTTTTTAGCTCCTTGTGGCAAACGCGTGAAGCGGTATCTTCCCCAGGGTAGAGAGAAGGTAAAGTAATCTCTGTCACTCTCCGGGATGTGAATCTGGAAGAATCCAGAAGTCAGGTCTAACGTGCTGAAGACCTTTGCACCCGCGAATGCGCGCAGATTGTCTTCAACACGGGGTATCGGGAACGGGAAGAATTCAGTTGCCTCATTGATCAGACGTAGATCCATGGTGATGCGAACACTACCATCAGTTTTGGCAACCGGGAATAGAGGGGAATTCCACAGAGAGGTACTCCCTTCTATTATCCCTACTTCCTCCAGTTCGTCTACTAACGTTTTCACCTTTGAGACTAATCTGTTTGGGATCGGATATTGCCTCCTATATACTGGTTTGCTGGTCAGCATCCTCAGCTTCGGGGCTGTGATGGTGGAGCCATTCCCCATATCTTTTATATCATTACAGAAACAATGGCTGAAAGCCCTGAGAATATCTTCGCCCGTGTGGATTTCGTTTAAGGGTATCCTGGGTGGTTGAGGAGACATTTCTATGGTTTGCAATGAAGAAAGAAAGGCCGACTTTGTCGGATCTTCCTTCCTTTCGTAATCGGATCTAATATTCCCGTCATAGGTGAGGTGTAGTTTTAGAGCTCGGAAACCTGGTAATCCAAGTATGCCATCAAATCCTATTTCCCCCATGTGGCAATACTCGAAGGTTGTTCTTACCTCCCTAATGGGTTTACCATTCACCATCGCCCCTATCTCTAACACCTCACTCCCTAATGACCTTAAAGATTTGCCTGTTATACCCTTAAGGTAAGTTGGTTTGTTTAGTCCCTCAGTGCATATTTTTAAATTATCGATATTTACAATATTGGCCTCTGAGCCCGAGTCTATGATAAATTTTAGAGGCCTCTCGCTCAGAGACCTCTCCTTATTTAATATATATACATTTATGGCAGGTAAACTGGCCGCAAATCCCCCTCCTGCCTTGAGGCAAGCCGGACCTAGTTTTTTCTTTGTGTCTGCTGGCAGTCCCGGATGAGGTGCCCTGGCTCGCCACACCTGTAGCACTTGGGTGGTGGTCTCCTTAGGTCTTGTTTCTTATAGTCCACTCCAGGGTTCTCCTCCCTTTCACAGTTGGGGTCCCTCCTTCCTTGTCTAGGTGGGGATGGATTCCGTTGTTGTCCTGGTGGTTGTTGTGCTGGTCTCCTTTGCCAGTTCCTGAAGGGAGCTCCCCTCCTGTTATCCTCGGTGTTGTCTCCTCCGTATTCCCTCCTTCCTGCGGGGTGTGATGGCCACCTTCCTCCCCCGCTATTTGCACTATTATTTGTTTTGTTTCTTTCAAAAAAATATATAATATTAGGATTATATGAATCACACTTGTTATTTAAAATTATATTTTGAAGTATTTAAACACAAGAGAGTGGGGTGTGTATAACAAGTTCTATATTTTTGAACTAATTCAGTAAAAAATTGTCTTGTACTATTTGACGTTTTGTAACAATAATTGCATCAAGTATAATAGATAGCTATTATGTAAAAATGTTATGTGAGTATGGGTTGTTCCCCTCCATGATTTATTCCAGACAACTCTGAATTCCAATCATCCTCTAGTATTCTTTCAGTCAGCTCTGATTGTGGGATTTTTTTATATAAAAAAAAAATGCGAATCCATTGGGCTTTGCCCACGTGGGTTCGGATCCCATCCTCGTCGCCATTTTTTTGTCTTGAAGATGTATCCCTCTAGCTATAAAAATTATCAGAACTTATAAAAAAGTTTATTTTCCTTCTTTAAAAATATTTACATAGAAGCAATTTAACAAAACAAATTTAATCTCAAAATTAAACAATGCTGATTTACATATCTCTCGACAGAATGTATTTACTCAAGTCTTTAGTCAAAACCCAATAAATAAATATATACACAATTTAATTATTTTTATATGCCTGCGTAACTCTAAGTCCATTTACATCAGTGGGATTTTGTCATAAAGATAATGTGATGACAGCTTTGGCCTGAAACAAGTCTTCTATAGGTTTTTTTTGTGCTTCTCTGTTTGGTATTGAGTAATGGTAACTGTCTGAAAAGGTCTGGTGGCTGCTTGACCAGATATTGGGGAAGCTTTTTGAAGTATCTGTTTTGTTGGGTTAGACCTTGTTGTTGGGTTAGACCTTGTTGTTGTACTTTTTTAGCAAAGTTTCTGAAAAAGCTGGCAACTTTGTATGTACCATGGTATATCCAGGTCTCTGGATGGCTTAGTTGCATTCTGTCGAGGATGGTGGCCAGTTGGATTAGATGTGTTCTGAAGGCTTGTACCGGGTTGTTGACAGTTCCGCTCTCCTGCTTGTTGTTGCTCATCCTGTTGACTCCTCTGAGAGAAAGTGTAATTTAGCTGTGTTATCCAAGTTTCTGATGTCTTCAGTTCATATTCGTGACAACTCTTTTGTTCTCAGATAGTTGAGCTTCCTTCCGGGCTAATTGGCCATCTCAGGCATGGTCTTCTAGCCCCATATTGAGGTCTGATGTATTATTTGGAATATTTATGGTAATGTCCTCATAGTACAAATATTGAGATCTGATGTATTATTTGGAATATTTATGGTAATGTCCTCATAGTACAAATATTGAGATCTGATGTATTATTTGGAATATTTATGGTAATGTCCTCATAGTACAAATATTGAGATCTGATGTATTATTTGGAATATTTATGGTAATGTCCTCATAGTACAAATATTTAGGTCTGATGTATTATTTGGAATATTTATGGTGATGTCCTCATGGGACAAGCTATGTCCCAGTTAATGACCTCAGCGCTTTCAAGCCCCATTTATTCTAGGGGTGAGACGAAATAATTTGTTGGAATTGAACTTTATCCTAAACTTTTGGACTATGTCAAACAACATTCAACTTGAAAGAAATTTCCACTACAGATACCCGTGAACAAAGATCCTGGCTTAGATGGAAAGTCCATCGATCTAGAAGAATAATAGTCCATTTCTTTCTTCCCTCTCATCTCATTTATCACTTTCCATAGCTTTTCAACCACTTTCACCTCTTTTCATCCCTCTGGAGTTTCCTCGAAACCCGTCATTGGGAATTTAATCCCGATATTCCTAGTAGAAAACTTCAGAAAGGAGGGCCTTGATCAGGTCAGGATGCATCGCGATAAAGCTGATTAGGTCTTCATGTAAGGTCTTTAGGAAGGGATGGCCAATGGAGCGCAGGATATGGTGGTTGCGGGAGATCACCATTTCATCCTTCTTCTCCAGGGCAGCGACCTCCACGATGGACTTGTAAGCTTTCTTCCACTTCTTCTTGGCAAGATCCATGGCTAGAGCAAGGGAGCAGAAATATGATCTGGTGGAGAGCTAGCTGGCAACTGTATGAGCGATGATGAAATACAATAAAGAGGAGATGGGATATTCTATTGGAAAGAGAAATCTGTGGTATCAGGGATCTTCAGATGAAAATACCACACCATTTCACCCTTCCTTCATTATGGTTAGATTTCTCTTCGACCATTATAGTGTGTGATAAAGTTAACATTAGTTAACATAGAATAAGGTTGTTTACTTACCTATTCAAAGTGACACCTGTTGTTCTCTAGAGAAAGTGGACATGTAACATGTGGTTGTTTGGGGCCTGTCAACTTTGTTCTAAAAGTAACCTCCCTTCTTGGAAATATATTTCTTATTTTTAAAGTTGTTCAAAGTTGGAAAAGCTGTCAGAAATGAAAAATTAGAAATTGTAAAGATTATGAAAATATAGATTAAGTTCTTATTTCTATTGATTTAAGTCTCAACAATATTTTAAAATTATATAGAATTAAGTATAATTTATATGAAAGATAGTTGTATTAGACAAATTTTAAAATATTATAGTATACATATATGCATGCATGCAATGCGATTCATTTCTTCTCAAATAATAATAATTATCCAATATATCCATTTTTATAATGTAACAGCCCAAAATAAATGAAAAAGTCCTAAAATACACAAAGGTATCATGGGCAAAGACAAATTTCAAATCTAATGCGCTTGCTCTGTAAATATTTATTAGGGCAATTCAAATCAATAACCTTGAAACTTAAAACACTATGATCCTTCACACAACTCATTTTGATAAAAAAAAAATTGAATCTTCGATTTAAAAAAATGATATGGTCACGAGGTGTCCTAACATTTTTACTTAGGTACTTGTGTATTGCTAGTTTATTGAAAAACTTTACCGTTTTGTATTTAAAACCATTGTTTAAATACTCTTTATTAAGATTTTTAATGTCATTAATTAAATTTGTTTTAGTATTGTTGATTCTATAAAATCTTAAAAATTGACCAAAATATATGCCTTTGCAGCAATTTGATGATATGTTGGAATTAACATTACAGAATTTAATAATTTTAAAATTATAGCAATTTCTTTTGTCATATGTTCCAACTGATTTGTGTTTGCAAGGTTTATATTTAAATCTAAAAGTTAACTTTTATGTTATTAGTTCTTTTCATTGGCAACCTAACTCCACTCCTGCAGCGAGGTCTCTCACTCGGTCACCATATTCTCTCACCTCCTCCCCCACTCTGTCTGCAAGAGAAGAACTGTCTCCTCATCTCTCCCGTAGAGGTTTTCTTGAATCTTCTCTCCAGACTGGCTTTGAGTTCCTCTTTACCCATCTTTACTTGTTGGGACTGCAGGTTAAAAACTCCCTGGCCATTCATTCCCCTGAGGTGGTTGTCTAGGAGAATACGAGCATCATCTAGAGGCCTCAAGTCATAGACCTTTTTGAAATCTCCTATAAACTTATCAAAGTGGACCAAACCCTTCCCATCAAACTTCTCCAGGTGGAACAGGGTAGAGGGCAACGATGCTTGGCTAGGATGAGGATACTCACTTTCCGAGGGTTTCTGAAAATTATTCTTAATTTTAGTGAGCATCCTACTGCAACTAATCTTGCCTTATATATGGGAGGATCATGGCTGTGTAAAATTGAGATGAATTTTTATGTTTTCTGTTGCTGTTACCTTTTAAAGCTATTTCCAGATCATGACATGTTCCTGTCTTTCTGGATTTCTTTTTTCAAAGTCCAATAAATTTTGACGCATGCCATTAAAGTCCATATTTCTATTAGCGAGGATTGATGTAATCACATTGTTATATTTATCTGGTAATATATCCCTCGAGGATATATCTAATTATTTCTATATCTGTTATTGCTTTTCCCATTTCAATTAATTGTCTTGAAATCCCTTGAATTCTAGTCAAGTAACCTTCAATGCTTTCATCATATTTCTTTTTTAGTCGAGTTAATTCAAGCATAAGATTCATAGATTTATCTTCAGCTTCTCCTTCATATCTGAGTTTTATAGCATTCCATAATTCTTGTGTATTTTTAATACCTTTGTAGGCGATAGCCTGATCAGATGACAAACTAAGAATAATTATTCCAAGAGCTTGTTTATTTTTCTTAGTCCATTCATTAAAAGCGTCGCCATTTTTTATCATCTTTTGTAGGGCTTGGATTATTAATAACATCATCAAAAAGATCCCTTGAATCTAACAAGGCTTCTATTTTCATACTCCAAATCGCATAATTAATATTTATGAGCAATTTGATTTTTGGTGAATCTAAAAAATCCATTTCTATTTCTTTAGTTTTATATATTTATAAATATTTTATTTACGTTTTATTTAATTACCACGCTCTGCTACCATATTGTTGTCGAATCTATATATGGCGTGGATTATTATTAAATAATACGATAAATTAAATGCACAAATGATTATATTTATTAACTTACAAAACAAAGGGAGAAATATTTACCACATATCTTATTTTATATATGTTTAAATTTAAAGAAATATAATAAACAAAACAAACAGTTCTATAAAAAAAGGCTTCAAGACAAATCTAATAACAACAACCAACTGCTAGGTGGCCAACGCCGCTAGGTGGCCGAATTGACTGGACGTGCGTCACATCGCTCTTCCAAACTCGGTAATAATTGTTTATTGATTCCCTTTTTATAACTTCTTCTTGGTTAATAATTTGAAATAGATAGGTGAAAGTTAATATTGACTTTTATAAAGATAGATTTAATTTTTAAAGTTCTGCGCTAATTTGTTTAAAGATTGAGTAAAGTTAATTAACATGCAAATTTTCTAAGAATGAATACACTGGTAATTGCACGACTGGGTGAAATATGGAAATATTTCTCCGATAAATTTGATAATAACCAAAAAACAATAAGTAAACAAGATCTTGGTTTTCTCAAAAGTACAATAAAACAGGTCAAAGATAGCATAACTGAGCTTATAAAGTTAGACGAAAACATAAACAAATTTGAGGAACAATTGCATGGTAATTTCACAGATATTAAAAATGATATAGCACAATTATTTAAACAAAATAAAATCAAAGAATCGCACACATACGCAGAAATAGTCAAAAATAGAAATGATAAAATATTACAAAAAAATAGATACACTAATGATGAGAAAACACTGATTATATTTGCTAATGATGATCAAAATACAGCTCATGTACACCAAAAGGTGAATGAAACAATGAAGCAATTTCGCCAAAAAGGAAATACTGCCAAAATCTCAAAATTGATAAATACACGAAAGGGTACAATATTAAAATCACCCAACGAACAAGACATAGATCAACTGATTGAGAGTTTTAGGAAAATAGACGAATTGAACCAAACATGTAAAATTTATAAGCCTAAGCAAAGAGATCCAACTATTGTTATAAAGAATGTAAATAAAGCAACAGACATATCTGACCTTACAAACATAATTTGTGAGATGAACCCAGAACTTACTAACTTTAAAAACGAACTAAAGGTACTTTTCCCAATTAAGTCCAATAAACCTGATCATGACGTGGTGCTGAGGGTTTCGCCTCGGGCCTACCAAGCTATAATGAAAGCCAACAAAATTTATACTGATGTACAAAGATGTGAAGTTCGAGACAAAGTCCTGGTGAACCAATGTCAGAACTGTTTCATATTCAACCCTAACCACAAGAAAAACGACTGCCCAAACTTGAAAAAATGCGTGAACTGCGGTACAGAGTTGAGATGAGTCTGGATCTTTTCATTCGGTTGAGAGAGGACTTGAAGGTTTTTAGTGCTATTATGCTATCTTGGGCGGAAATTTGGGAGAAGGTGGCTGTGTCCTGCAATATTTCCAAGATTTTGGCGTGGTACGAAGATCGGTCCAAGATTACGGTGTCAGTGCCCTTATCTGATCTGCTGATGACTATTGAACATTGTTTCATTAGTCTGCGGAGGGCCTTGGATTCAGTTTGGGAATTTGGCCTTTGCCTTACACAATCCGATAGTAATATAGGAATAATGAATTATCCTATTTAATTCTTAATGAACCCTATAGTCCTGCAGTATAAAATATTAAGGAAATAGAGCAGGAGTTTATGTACAAAATTGAATTGTGACATTTGTACATATGTACATAGTCGCCAGTTCCAGGGGATCTCGAGGCTGCTTCCTCAGCTCTGCAAGTGGACTTTTAGGGTACTCCAGCTGCGTTAGATTCTCCTTCTGGACAGCAAAAACTTCGGAAAGGTTACTGTGCATATTATTTATGATGTTTACATCATTGTTGGGTTGTTATGGTAAAATGGACCCAACATATTTATGGTAATATCCTCATAGTACAAATATTGAGGTGTGATGTATTTTTTGGAATATTTATGGTAATGTCCTCATACTACAAACATTGAGGTCTGATGTATTATTTGGAATATTTATGGTAATGTCCTCATAGTACAAATATTGAGAGATCTGATGTATTATTTGGAATATTTATGGTAATGTCCTCATAGTACAAATATTGAGATCTGATGTATTATTTGGAATATTTATGGTAATGTCCTCATAGTACAAATATTGAGATCTGATGTATCATTTGGAATATTTATGGTAATGTCTTCATAGTACAAATAATGAGATGCCTAAAGCATGCCTGTGTGCCATAGTACATTCAGCCCAGACAATAAATTTGCATTGTCTAAGAACTTCGCCCATTGCTGAATCAGCATTCAAATTACAAACTGGTACCTCATCCCTGGTCAAATTTAAGGTAATTTGAAAGTCGAATGAGCTGTTGCTGGCAAAGGGCAAAAAATTCTGTCAACGGGGTCTTAGGTGGACGGTGAGCCCGTAGTGCAGCATTAGCAGAAGTAAAATATACACGCTGCCCATTTTCCAAATGTACAGAGATATGTTGAACCATTGGATGGCGTCTGTGAATAGGGAATCCCAGAATGCGCCAAACAGCTTCATTGCTACTAATATATCGACCACGTTGGTACTCTAGCACTTCATTAGACTCTGTTTGAGCACCAGTAACTGCAAAAATTGATTGGTCTGAACCCTTGTATATGTATTTGCAGATATATTTTATAGCAGAGATTGAAGCACAGGACTCCACATTGATGTGAGCATCAAATAGTCTGCATAGAAGAGGCGAATATGGCACAACATACCTATTATCAATGGTAACATTATTCATGCGCACAACCTGAACACCATTCTCAATGGTGAAAACTCTCACTCTTTTAACAAAAGAAAAGCCACCTTCCTCAGGCCTGCGACGTCTGTACAATGGGTAGCCATCCCTATCTGTCTGTGTTTCAGCCAAGAGTAGCCGTGGATATTTCTTTTGGCATCTACCCCGTTCCATGCAGCCAGGATTAGGATACCCATGTCCACATGGCCCATGAATCATATTTTTGGTTACAGTCCGAAACAGTGAAGCATCAACCTCCTCATTGGGGATTTCAGCACAAATGATCGAATCAATCTGGTTTGGGCGAATCTTTTCTTTAAGCCACAATAAAATGTGCGCATGTGGTAGGCCTAGCCTTTGCCATTCAATGGTATAACACCAACATTGGGGCGCGCGCGCGCTTGCCAAAAACATAACTCTTGGTGATCAAATCTATATAAGCTTGGCAACTTTCAATTGAAAAATGCGAGCAACCAAGTCATGCCGAACAAATGCACCTTGGGTGGGGAATTGCATTAGTTTTATCTCAGGCCACTCAGGATTGCGAGTTAGCAAATAAAAAAAAAATTCAAAACGTATTATATAGGCAAGGCCATACCTCTGCAAAAGTTTAATATATTATACCAAAAAAAAAAAAACCTGCAAAATGCGACAGGAAGTCGCTTTGAGGCATGCCGGACCTATTTTTTTTATCATGGCTGTGCAAATCTTTGCCATGTGGCCTGCCTCCCCGCACCTGAAGCACTTAATGGGTGTCCGCTTTGTGTTGGGGCCTTCATACCCCCTAAGCGTTCCTCCTTTGGTTGCTGCTGGAGGGCCTTCCTTGCGCTGCTCTTGTGGGGCTCTACCATTGGGGTTCTGTTGGGGTTCCTCCTGCCTGGCCCCCTGTATAATGGGCTGGTTGTTTTGAGCGGAACCTCCTCTTCCCTGGAAACCTCTGGTCTGGTTGTTGTTCCACCTGTTTCCAATATTCACCCTGGGTTGCTCCCTGTGGGTCCTCCTCAGGTCTTGGTTTTCAGTCTCCAGGTTCCTTAGCTTGGATTCCAGTCGGGCCATCTGGCTTGTTAACTCCCTCAATTTCCTGGCACTCCCCTCTTCATCTTCCAGTTGGCATCTGGAGTACTCATCATCCCTTTCTTCGATCTGATGGAGACTGCTCACCATCACCTCCCATGGCTCATTCTGGAGTTGGTGGGCTCTCTGCCACAGGTTTGGACAGAGTCCAGTGAGGAAGATATCAGCGACCTCAGTGATGTTGAGCCTCAGGCCATCTGATTCGGCTTCGGAGGCGAGGCTCCGCACTCTATTCGCATATTCCTTCACCTTCTCTCCGGGCCTTTGTCTACAGGAGAAGAATTTCTTTCTGGCTTCTCTCTTGGGGGCCCTCCTGGAGAATCTCTGTTCCAGGTTTTCTTTTAATTCGTTGTATCCCAGTTTGATCAGGGAGGCCTGGAGGGCGAACTCTCTCGCAGCTTCTCGAAGGTGATTGTCCAGGAGGATCCTCCTCCTAGAATCATCCAGGGCTTTCACGTCGTAGACCAGTTCGAAGTCCCGGATGAACTTGTTGAATGGTATGAGCCCATTCCCCTCAAACTTCTCCAAATGGTATAGCGCAGACAGCAACGGCGTCTGGCTGGGGGAGGGGTCATCTCCAGGGTGCATGGTTCTCTCTCAGTTTGCTGTCTGAAATATTCCAGATTAGTAGTGGGGATTGTAGAAGGGAACTTCATGCATAAGTGGGGGCAGGGAATCGAGGGGTGGAAGATGGGTTCATGGCCCAAAAGAGAAAGGAAATTGGAGAGGTACATGTTCATTCATTTGGGTGGATAATCGTTTTTAGATCAATGCTCTTTGTAGCATCTATGTGTTCTTTGTGACTTGCATATCTTGGTTTAAAAAAAAAAAAGGTATGCAAGAAATGCAAAAAAAAAAAAAAAGGTTAGAGATATCTAGAAATTTCTCCTATCAATTTACCTAATTCCTTAACACGTGCTTGTGTCTATTGTCACTTAGCGGCTGTTATTAGAAATTTCCTTCTTATATTTATACAGTATGAAGGCATAGTAGTTAAAGGCTGTATTTCCATGAGTTTTCATCTCTCTTACAACATGTTGAAACAAAATTAAATGGGGTTATAAGATCACTGTCTATGGGGTAACAGGTGCATATTGGATTGGGAAATGACAAAGTTATTTCGCCCTTTAAGATACTAATTGTGACTGAGTTTTCTGTTGAGTTATGATGATACACTGAGAATTTGATAGGTAATTTATTTTGCAGGACTGTGCTGCATTTCAAAGGTTTTGTTTGTTCCTGGGTTAGCAATTTTTTATTATATATAATCTCTCCTTGTTTGTACACTATAATTAGCTGAAGAAGTGCTTGCCCGAAAGCTTCCCTTAATCGCGTTAATAAAAAAGAGTTGCGGTGATATATGATTCCCTCTCTGATTTGTCGAAATCCGCAAACCGTTTACCAAGAATAGGGGGTGTAAGAAGGGGTGGTGAGTATTTACACAGGTATTATGATTCTTAAATTACAACATATATGTGATATCTTGGGACCTCTGGGACCAGTGTTACCTGATGCTAGACGAACCTCGATGTCAACTCTACCGTGCAGTCGTGGTGGAAGGCGACACAGCTGGGCCAAAGGTGAAATAAACAAACAGAGATTCCACTAAGAAGCGTCTGACGTCAAGAAGGAATGGGATGAGCGGAGAGAGAGATCTTTAGAGCAAGTGTTACCATGGTGGGATCTAAGCGCCGACTGCCTATCCTAGGTTCTCGATTTAACACCAAGACCTATCTTCTTTCCCATTGGTCGAAAGGTGTCACGTGGCCGTTTTCTATTGGCTGACCTAATTAGGTGTTACCTTCTAATTGGTCCTTGCTGATTTCTTTGTCGGAAGACATGTTCGGCCTTGCCCAGGAAATACTGGTCGTTAAGCTCAACTTTTATGATTTCCGCGATCATAAAATTGTCTGTAATTTTATTAATAGTGGTGCTGACTTTAAGCCTCTTTGCTAGGCCTTACTTCTACTCTCACCTAAGCCTGATTAGTTTTAACCTTAATTTTCTCCTGTTAGTCTCCATTCCTTCTATCTGTACAGTTGCTATACTTTATTAGATTCTTACGCGGTACAGATTGATGTTAGTTGAGGCTTTCTATTTGCAGTACATAAGAAGTTATATACAGTCATGGGGTGGAACATGTGGTAGTAGATATCTAGACTATTTACAACAATTCCATGGTCTTAAATCATCACAGATGGCCCCGGATGTGAGAGGGTTCATATGGAGGGATTTAAGAGAGCGGAATAGGAAGACTGTTATTAAGGAAGTAATTTTTTAAAAATTAATTGAAATGAGTTGGTATATAACATGGGGTTGATTTCTGTATATCCATAAGAGGTAATAAAGCATAAACAACTAATACTAAACATACAATTAAAACAAAAATTGGAATAAAAAATTTAATAGAGAACATATAATGATGATAGGTAAAAATATAAATGATTGGATGGGTAAATCATGATCTCTTCGTGATGGGCGTTAGAAAGGGTTGAGGGGTTAGTTATTACTTTGTTGAGGCAATGTCACTTTGACTCAAGTCCCAAACCATTTAATGTGCACGGCGCGGAAAACCTAGGCCATGTTTCACATGTAAATTTAAGGACCGAATAAAGTTACAGTACCACAATCGAAAAGTAAGATAAGAGTGATTGTTATGGGTTTTAATAATTAGTCGTTAAGACGTACGCATGCAGGATAAATGAGGGCGAAGATCAGTGACCAGAAATCAAAGTTTTAATTGGAGTCGTCAGGGGCTTAGCGAGAAAAAGAGTAAAAAAAAAAAAAAGATGTGCCAGCGTGTGGCATGAGAGTGCCTTGGAATATATAAAAAAATACAATTTGCACGTATCCAAGCCAGAAGTTGGGATAGGTAAATCTGGGGGACGGTGTGTCAATATTGTTAATTACGAAATCAAAGTAGGTCAAGTCTAGCCTGCGAAGGAGTTAAAAGTTCCTGCGGAAAAGGGTTAGTATTTATTAAGAAGTAACCTAAAAGTGGTTGTTTAAGAGATTATTGAAGATTGCCCTGTTTTTAATCATGATTTTTAGTTTGATTATAAAAGAATATATCATTGAGATATGAAATTGCGAAATTAAGGCTTTGCATATAGCGTTAAAGGATTTGAAAAATCGAAAATAGAATTGCGAAGTTAAATGCAAAGTAATCTTTTAAAAGAAGTAAAAATAGTGATAACATAATACAAAGATTACACACTATAGCAGTATATAAGGGGTAATAGAAAGTGAACATATTAAATGAAAAAAAAAAATAAAAGCAATAATGTACTCGATAGCATTGAACATGGTAGCGGAAGATGAAACAATGTAAATAACATCGAATTTATAAAGTGAGAGAAAATATAAAATGACAAATGCAAATTAGTGATATAAGCATGAAATATAAACTTGAGATTATTAGATATGAAAGATAAAATATAAGGTTGATTATATAATAGAGTCATAAAGTAAAAGTGAATAAGCTTTGGTAAAGAAAAATAAAATAAAATGACAATAATCTAAACTGATTGGTTTACGAAAAAAAAAAAAAAAACTTATAAGAGCTAGATTTTGATTAGATAAAGGATATTTTAAAAAATGTTCATCGAGAAAGAAGAGCAAGTAAGATTATACATAGAAATTATATATCGTGAAAGAATGGAAAGTTGTAGGCCAAATGTATGTTCCTGTTTTTTAGGATGGGTAGAGAGAGCTTTAAATTGTCCTCGATTGATATCTTTGGTCTTGTTGGCCTAAGTTTTTCTAACTTATCGAATTTGTTTTATGTTTGACGTGACTCGTGGATCATATTGTTTCCAACTGTGTGTGAAACTTACTAGTCCTAATGTTGTCGATTTTTTGTTCCCTGCGCCGCGTTTAGGTGAAAACGTGATTCTTCCTAAAGCGGCATTTATTCTGTGTGTGCAGGAGAAACACGGCGATCTATTCTAACCGATAAAGGGTTGTTGTTGTTGTTTTTTTTTTTTTAAACATGTGTGGGTGTGTGTGATTTTTAGGTAAAATGTTGTCCTTGGTTCTAAGTGTCGATGTTAAGTGGACAAGTTAATCGAGGGCGAGAGAATCTAGACCTGGTGACTTGGTTTTGGGTCATTAATAAAAAATAAATATGTTCATTATTGGAGTTCAGTAGGCGGGATCAGTTATTGAATTAATTATTTATTCTGTTAGTGAACTGATTTGTTAGTAAATGTAGAATGGACGTATTATACAAGTTATTTGTAGCTAAATGGGATATCGGCGTAGAAATTGGTTAGGGATTAGAACGATATATAGTAAAAGGCACGCACTAATATTTGATTTCATAGCTGGTGAAAGTTCATTAGAGAACACGGGGTGGCGACGGGCTGTGGCAATAAAATGTCGGCTGTTTGTTAGTTCGGTGTCAAATGGACGAGGGGAATATTTTTATCGTATCCCAGAAGTGGAGGGGGGTGGCTATCTAGGTCAGAGGCTCCTTTCGGGGCAGCTTGCTTTCTTCCAACTTATTGGATTTGTTAATTCGAACTACGTTCGGAGATATTATTTCTATAATTGTAAACGCAAAAGCGTTTTGATTTGTCACGTTTGGTGACAAGCGTTATGGGATTGACATAGGGAGATACAGAGGTTGTAATTATGCCGTGTTCAAGCATGTGTTCGATTTATGTTTGTATTTCAAGTTGGTCATTTAGGGGTACGCGATAAGGACGTAAGGCAATTACCTTGTCCGAAGTAGTATTGATTTTTACGGGAGGTATTTTAAGCCTAGGGACGTCGTATTTATTGGCGGCGAAAACGGGTGCAAATTGATGCAGTACCTTGTGTAAATTATAGGGACAGTGACCTAGGTTACTTGTGTCCAAAGATATGCAAGAGGAGGACATAGAGGCGTTGAAAATAGGATCAGGAACATTACAATGAGACCAAATAAGAGTGTTGGAGTTCACCACGTGTGAGCAACCCATTCCAGGAGGGGAAAATTTAGTAAATGGAACAGTTGTATTAACCTGTCCATGGGACATGTGTTGCTTGCACGAGGTGAATTGGTACAAGGTAGTTGGTAGAGGTACATTATCTTGATACAGGAGTAGCTGAGGACAGTCTATAATTAGTAGAAATATTTTTATAGAGTTAATGGATAAGATGCCAAAAGGCAAGGATGTATCTAAGATATAGAATTTTAGGTTCTGCGTTATGCTACCTATTTTTACGTTTAACAATATATAACCTATGGTGAAAAAATTGTTAGATAGGGCATTAATAGTTAAGTTGAATGGATGGACAGGTATTTTCTTTTACAAACTTATTTCTATTATTTTAAAAGTATTCTGCCTAATTATAGCGATAGATGCTCCTGTATCACGTAGTAGAGGTAGGTTTACATTATTGGATAGTTCAGCTCGAACGAGCAATTGTTCAACAAAAGTTATAGAAGGAGGAACCTACTGTTGTGCTGTCTTGTATGTCGGAACAGTCCTGGTCTTGTGCCATGGTTGGAGGTTCCTTGGGACAGTTAAGAGTTCACTGCTTGCGCTGGGCTCGTGGTTTAGAGGTGGTCGGGGGAGCAGGTAACATACGCTCGCATGTTGGTAACTCGGAGGTGTGCTTGCAGGAGGTTTGCTGGCTTTCTCAGGCTTGTAGAGTATTGTAGTTGGGCCCGATCTGCTTGGGCGTCGTAGTTGGTGAAGAATTTCTGCGCCTCGTACGAACCATCGTAGCGTGGTAGCTCCACATCTCGCGATAGTCCGGTCACGGCAGAAAGCTGAGGTAGCGTCCTGGTCAACCTCCCCAGGACATCTGACACCGGCGGCGGGGGCGTGGCGTCCTCGTGGCTGTGGGGAACTTCCTGCGTCCTACCGAGGGTGGTTTCTTTCTTTGGAAAAGTGGTGTTTTCGCCACTTTCGGAGTCGGGATCGGACTCCATTGATTCCTTTGGATCCTCCTCTCTTCCCTGTTCCATCTTTCTGTACAGACAGTGGTCTATTTGCTTACTTGTACCTTGGCGTCCACTATCCTGTCGACTCTTCGGACGGGGGAGTCTGTGATATCTTGGGACCTCTGGGACCAGTGTTACCTGATGCTAGACGAACCTCGATGTCAACTCTACCGTGCAGTCGTGGTGGAAGGCGACACAGCTGGGCCAAAGGTGAAATAAACAAACAGAGATTCCACTAAGAAGCGTCTGACGTCAAGAAGGAATGGGATGAGCGGAGAGAGAGATCTTTAGAGCAAGTGTTACCTTGGTGGGATCTAAGCGCCGACTGCCTATCCTAGGTTCTCGATTTAACACCAAGACCTATCTTCTTTCCCATTGGTCGAAAAGTGTCACGTGGCCGTTTTCTATTGGCTGACCTACTTAGGTGTTACCTTCTAATTGGTCCTTGCTGATTTCTTTGTCGGAAGACATGTCCGGCCTTGCCCAGGAAATACTGGTCGTTAACCTCAACTTTTATGATTTCCGCGATCATAAAATTGTCTGTAATTTTATTAATAGTGGTGCTGACTTTAAGCCTCTTTGCTAGGCCTTACTTCTACTCTCACCTAAGCCTGATTAGTTTTAACCTTAATTTTCTCCTGTTAGTCTCCATTCCTTCTATCTGTACAGTTGCTATACTTTATTAGATTCTTACGCGGTACAGATTGATGTTAGTTGAGGCTTTCTATTTGCAGTACATAAGAAGTTATATACAGTCATGGGGTGGAACATGTGGTAGTAGATATCTAGACTATTTACAACAATTCCATGGTCTTAAATCATCACATATATATATGTAATATTGTTGCAAATGTCGATGTATGGATAAGCTGGCAGTTATATACAGTCATGGGGTGGAACATGTGGTAGTAGATATCTAGACTATTTACAACAATTCCATGGTCTTAAATCATCACATATATATATGTAATATTGTTGCAAATGTGGATGTATGGATAAGCTGGCAGTCATGTACGTGAGGCGAGTGTTGATGTTCTTCCCACACGCGGACAACAAGAAGCAGAAGCAGGGCTAGATGTTAACACCGAGAGTGATCGGGAACAGCCCACGGGACAGAGGTAGAGGCCATGACACAAACTTGGATGCATATTTCCGAGACATGGAGGGAGAGGCTGTGCGTGAAAGACAGCAGCCGTCTGTCGATGGCCACACCCTACAACCATCTGCTGCTGACCCCCTGCCAAAATCTGTCCTGTTTTCCGGGGTCGTCTATAAAGAGTCCCTGGGGGCCCCACATGGGCTCTGTCCCTGCCACCAGCTGACCGGCCACTCTTTGGATCTTTATTTTGACCTCAACATTTTTAGTTTTACATACAAATAGGGGGTTTAAATACAAATAGTATATATACAAAATATGGGGTGGTAGTAAATAGAAATAGTGTACATTTTAATAGAAGGGTAGGATCTTATATGGTATAGGCTTTAACTAATTGGAATATATGTGACATATACTAAAAGTGTCATTATTATACAGTTTAAAATATACAATAGAATGTGCCCCCAGGATGAAGGTTTGTTTGGGGGAAATGAAATAACATGAATGATGACCTAACAAACCTATTATAAAACCAAAAGAAATAATTTGGGCACAAATTAGTTAAAATTATTATAAATATAGGAGTATAAAATAGGACAATAATATAATGATGACGTCTCAATAAGATATAGAATCTGATGAAAGAAATATACTTAAGTAGTTTCTGCCCCTAGAGGGGTTTAGGGCACCATAGGGAGTGTCATGGTCAAAGGATGCATTGCCTGGGGGACTCCGCCTGTACGGCCATAGAACTCACGCCCCTGATTCTGGTAATGGTCGCATACCATTCGGTCAGCAAGAAGGGTGCTATTGCCCTCATGAGGTCTTGGTGGGATAAGCCCTCCGTTAGGGCCTCATTTATGATGGGGTTAGTTAGCCCTAGTTTAAGGCCCATTTTCACTTTGTGCCTATAGTACTCTCCTATGGAGAGTTGGCCAGTCAGTTTATATGACATGAAGTCACTGAAGGTGACTTCGGAGGTACCAGGGTAGAGGTCTATCGTCTATTGAGAGGTCTATTTTTTTTTTAATTAATGTAATTGAAATTTAAGAAAGTTTCAAGTAATATTTTAGCTGTATTGTTATCTAACTTAAATGTTTTGTATTTGTTGTGAATAATTTGAATATGGAATGTTTTATCATTAATGAATTTGTTTATTAAGCTGTGTGTGAATTTATTATTAAGGTCATCTAAACGTATGATGGAGTAAAGATCTTCAAAATCAAATGTATGAATTTGTATTGATCTTTGGTAGATTATTCGTTAAGAAGTTAATATTTATTAGAATTGATGGATTTATAATCATGTTTGTTAGTTATTCTATTTATGATGAAGTGTTGAAGCTAGTTTCAAATCTATGTTTTTTATGACTGAGTTTATTCCTGATGTGATTGTTCTGAATGAGAATGGTGTTTTGTGTAATTTAGGAATAATATAAAATTTCGGTAGGTTTGTGGTTTTGTTGTAATTTATAATTTTTAGTGAGTTTTCTACATTTTTAATATCTTTCTTAATTTTAGTTTCAGTTGTTCTTACGAAAGTGTATTTACAATTGTTATTAATTAGAAGGTCATGATATAAATTTTTACATATGATAGATAAATTACACTGGTCAACAAGATTTTTGCACAAGAGAACCTGATTATGTTTCTAGTGTAACTTTTCATGCTGAACTCAAAAATCTAATCAGAAATTTCCTATCACCTATGGTTTTTGCGTTACGGTCTTTTTTAGTATTGGGATAAATACAGTTTTGCACAACCCTTATTACATTACACTGGTTTATCAAAAAATATTTTTTTTGTCCACAAAGAAATAGCATCTTATCTACATGTCCTGAATCCAAATATACCATTAGTTTTTTTCTATTACGTAATATTTCTGAGATACACCTACTTGAAATTTGGAAATATTGTTAATATATAGGCATATATGAACGAAACATATTTATTTATTGAAAAGCAGTGACAGTGGATTTTCTTCTATACTTTGCTTGTGGTAGATCCCTCTTGAGTGTCCAGCAGTAGTCGGCAAGCATAGCGGGACTCCATTTACCTTGGTACCGCTTCTCCATGCTTGATATATCTTGATGAAACCTCTCACCATGCTCATCGCTAACTGCGCCAAGATTGTCTGGAAAGAAATATAGATCTGAATGCAGGAAATGGATCTTGAGGGACATGTTACATCCTAGTGCCTTGTAGGAAAGCAACAGATCATTAACTATGTCTCGGTAATTTTCAACCTTGACACTTCCTAAGAAGATTTTGCAAACCTTCCTAAAGGAATTCCATGCTGCTGCTTCAACTTCATTCAAACTATTTAGAAAATTTCCATTTTGCTGCAATTCTCGAATCTGAGGTCCAACGAAAATGCCTTCTTTAATCTTCGCTTCACTTATTCTAGAAAATTTTTGTTTTAGGTAGGCAAATCCACTGGCATTTCGATCCATTGCCTTGACAAAGTTTTTCATTAATCCCAGTTTAATATGTAATGGTGGTAAGTAAATAATTTCTGAATCGATCTGGGGTAGATTTGCAATATTTTTATATCCTGGAGTAAATATTTAATGGTTTGGCCAGATTTTTTTAATGTAATGCCTTTCCCTATCTCTGCTATCCCACTCACACAGAAAACAACAAAATTTTGTATATCCAAGCTGTAATCCACGCAAGAGAGCAACGACTTTCAAATCGCTGCATATTTTCCAACCGTATCTTTCATATTCTATCTTTTTCAAAAGCAGTTTCATTTATTATGGCATATATATTCATATATTTATATATATTTATCCCAATACTAAAAAAAGACCATCAGGCAAAAACCATGTGTGATGGGAAATTTCTGATTAGATTTTTGAGTTCAGCATGAAAAGTTACACTAGAAACACCATCAGGTTCTCTTGTGCAAAAAAAAAAAGTTTTTTTTTGTAGACCTGTGTTATTTGAACATTTATCTATTGGACATATGATAAAATATTTTTGTAGGCCTTCAAAAGTGTCTTTCAATATACCTTCTACCTGTCTAATTATATCATATTAATTAATGGTTAATTCTGTATAGCTTGGAATATGGTCTACAAATGATTCAGGTAATATTGAATTTGTAGATGCACTATCTATAAATTTCTATTTTGAAAGTTTGTACCTCTTGTCAACTAGTATTTGAAGGTCCAGCATCACTTGGTGTAGCAGCCTGGTGTGGGTTGGAGCTCTTCAAAGCATGGCATGGTTGTCCTTGCTGAGTTGGTGGTGGTGTATAAAAACTTGGAGGATGGGTGGAGAATGGAGCTGGTGAGCTCCTGGAGGATGAACCCGGGTTGGGGGGCTGCGGTATGGGCCCACTGTATGGTAGTGCCACTGCGACTGTACCTCGCAGATTCCACACAGAGAATCTTGTCAGCCACAATGGGACATGTGGCTCGACCACCAAGAAGGGGTTTCTATCTCTGACCAGCTTGGTGTTGGTGGGGTCAGGTCATCCACCACAGGTCAGATGGCTTGACCACAAGTAAGGGGCATCTGAGTCCATCTTGGACTCTGGTTAGGGTTGGCTTGCGGCAAAGTCTCGGACCTTCTCTCCAACCTTCTGCCTGCAGGAGAAGAATTGGCTCCGCATCTCTCTGGTGGAGATTTTTTTTTTTAAACCTTCTTCCCAGGCTCTCCTTCAACTCTTTATATCTCAACCGAATCTGTTGAGACTGGAGGGCAAACCCCCTTGGAGCTCGTGGTGGAGTTGGTGTTCTGCCTGAAGATGGTGATTTTAACACCCACCATGGGCTTGTGGCTTGCCCATAGGCATGCTGGAGTCTGGCTTGACTACAGGGAAGGGGTGTCTGAGTCCATCTTGGACTCTGGCTTGGGTTCAAGTCAGCCACAATGGGACATGTGGTTCGACCACCAGAAAGCTCAGACCTGCTTGGTAGGGCCAGGTCATCCATCACAGGTCAGGTGGCTTGACCACAGGAAGGGGTGTCTGAGTCTATCTTGGACTCTTGCTTGTTTCTGGCCATCTTTGTCCATGTTGGAGCACCAAGAAGGAGTTGTCATATTAGGACAAAAATTGGTGTACACAGTGTGGCAAATAATTTTTAAGAATGGGTTTGTAAAATAAAATTGAAACAAGCTAATTCAATTTCTACTATTTTTTTATTCAAAATAATCCCCTCCGGATTCAATACATATGTTACAACGATTTAATAAGAAATTAAATGCCTCTTGCAGGCCACTTTGAGGAATCGCCTCCAAAGTGCTTGTCGCAGCTGTCTGGATGGTCTGGATATCATAAAAAAAAAACAACCTTTCAACTTCAATTTTATTTTTGGGAATAATTGCTAATAGCACTACTAAACCACCCATGGGTTGTGGATCATCACGGATATCCTGTAATGTCCGATCAAGGGCTTCCAAGGCAATTTTATGGGCCATGGTGCACTCATCCCAAACCAGCAACTTACAGCTATGTAAGAGTGAACCTTTATCACTATTTTTTCGTATATTGCAAACAGCAGTCTGGCCCTCTGCAAAAAGTAATTTCAGCACTGAATGTGCAGTTCTTCCGCTCGCAAGCAATGTCGCAGCTATCCCTGAGGAAGCAACAGCAATGGCAATATTTTGTTCCTTCCTAACCATTGCTAATAGAAGATTCAAAAGAAATGTTTTACCTGTTCCCCCCGGCGCATCTAAAAATATAATTATGGGTTGTGACAAATTAATTCTTGCTAAAACAGCATCAAAAACTCTTCTTTGTTCTGGCAAGAGTTTGGGAATCATGGATGCAACATTGTCTTCAAGTTCTGCGTATCATACGCAAGTTCTCTCAAAATGTCAGAATTGGTAACCACATTTCTCCTGGGTGCTCCTAAGCCTAATTCCTGCAGTTTCTTCCCACATATAGATACGACACGATCCTCAATGTTACACAATGTTTCATTATACATCAGATCATTATACCTGATCATATCTGTTCATAAAATATGATAAATATGATTTAAAATAAATGCATTTTTCCCCTATGCACTATGCTAAGCAGTGACCAACACTCAGGCAAAGGGAGAAACAAAACAAACTAGTTCCTCACGCCCACTTCCTGGTCTGTGGTGACCTCCTGTAGCATGCCGTCTCCTTGAAGATGTCCATGGGGTTCTGGACCTGGGGTAGGGTTGGCTTGTACTCCAGGCTGCATACTACAATTATTGTACAAATATTGAGATCTGATGTATTATTTGGAATATTTATGGTAATGTCCTCATAGTACAAATATTGAGATCTGATGTATTATTTGGAATATTTATGGTAATGTCCTCATAGTACAAATATTGAAGTCTGATGTATTATTTGGAATATTTATGGTAATGTCCTCATAGTACAAATATTGAGGTCTGATGTATTATTTGGAATATTTAGGTAATGTCCTCATAGTACAAACATTGAGGTCTGATGTATTATTTGGAATATTTATGGTAATGTCCTCATAGTACAAATATTGAGGTCTGATGTATTATTTGGAATATTTATGGTAATGTCCTCATAGTACAAATATTTGATTTATAAATGCTACGTCACCCTCCTCTTTATTTCTATATTTTCTGATGATATTGTAGTTTTTATATTTGAGTTTGTATTTTTCATTTAATTTGGGGTTTACTGTAGAGCTATAATTTGTACCTTGTGTTTGTCAGCTATTTCCATTATTTCTTGTAATTTTATTTTTGTTGCCGTTGAGCACATTCCATTTATGTTGCACTGCAAAATGCTTAATTATTTGGAAGCTGCAAATTTTAGAGTTTGTGTGGACTGTGACTGTATTAAACTTATCGGACAGAACCCTCTACCAATTAATTGAAGGAAAGACTGAACGCAGTGCCAAAAATTGAGATGAGAATGGTGGTGTTCTTTACATTTGACAAGCTTCTTATACACAAGGGGTTTAATTCATATTGGGGCTTGTGTGAGGATTTCACGATGGGTTGAATGTTGAACATAGAACAAACCTGTGTCTGTTTACAGGGTAAAGCTATTTGATTTATAAGAACAGAGAATAATAATATTGTTCTACCTGCATTTTTGTTCTAGCTGCATTTTTCGGTGATAATATTGGGTGACTGTTTCATTTTCTTGTTGTATGATTTTCATCATTTCAACCAATGGTGTAAGTTTGGCTTTCTGGTATCTAGTTATAAGGTTTTCTTTGAGTTTATTCCAGTCCCCAATATGGCAAAGGCTTTTGAAGTAATAGGTTAAAGCCTCATCCTGTAAGTAATCCGATAAATGAAGTACCTTCCAACTATTATCAAACCCATAAGAATCACTTTTTCTTTCAAAATTTATAATCCAAGTTTTAATATTTAAATTATTATTGTATTTTACAAAAGACGACATCACCTGATATGCAAATTCAACATCTTTTTCTCTTTTTGCTTTTGCCATTATTTCACAAGTTCCAAATAAATTGATATAAAATTTAATAAAAATTAGGTAAATTCTGTCGACTTATTTGTTATGATTAATTTTTTGTGTTTTGTTGTTGAAAAGAGGTCCAGTCGTGGAAAAGTAAATATAATTATTTACCTTTCAAGTAGATTTTATTTTGAATTACTTGAAGTAAAAATACACATAAAATTATTTATCACTGCAATATAGAATTTATACAATGAATTCTATAATCGTGATTTTAATTAAAAAAGGTAGGGTAACTATACATATTTATAACGATAATAATTAAAGTGGGTATTTTTTGAATCTATGGTCAAGTATGTCTTCGCTCATACTCTCTTTATGCTTCTCCCATAGGCCTCTTGGGTCTGAAGGCGAGCAGGTTGTCAAAATGATAGCAAACAGAGTTTGTATTTGCTTAGGATGACATGTTTCAGATGCTTCTGCCAGTGTGTTGTCCCAATGCTGATCATTTTTAAGCAGACCAAGCTTGAAGCATGCCTCTCTATATGTCTGACAGATTTGGCCGTTGACGGTTTTGATAGCTTCGAACGATTTCGGTCCTTTGACTATACATGAAGCAGCATTCGCAAATAGTAGCATTCAGCATTGCTCGGATGGACAGTATACACTTGCCCCAATGCGCCAGTGGAAAACACCTGAACCATTGAAGAGTGCAGCATGCCTTGTTTTCTCCATTGCCACTTCTTCGTTGACTGATTCCATGTGTAATACGTCGGAACCTCATGATACAGCAATGTTGCAGCGAATGTGTCACTGGCACACAATTGAAAAAATGCAGTCAACATTGTATTGGGTGGATTTTCAGCTCGCTGGGCCGCGCTCTCTTCTGTGAAGTATACTCGTTGACCATTTTCCAAATGCACACTGAGATGGACGACAGCAGGAGAGCGTTCGTGGATGTCAAAGCCAAGGATTTGCCATACAGCTTCATTGCTGCTGATATAACGTCCCATTTGAAACTGGTCGATTTCATTGACGGGTGCATTTGGATTTTTGAAGTCCAAAAACTGCCATATCACTGCCCTTATTCACGTATTTACAAATGTATTTGATCGATTTGACAGAATTGCAATACTCCACGTTGATATGCGCATCAAATGCTTTCGAGAGCAAAGGAGAGTAAGGCACAATCCACTGGTTATCAACCTCAAAATCAACGTGATTGAGTTTGATTGTTGCTGTGTGGCCACCATCCTCTGGTTTTCGTCGTCTGTACAGAGGATAACCGTCGCCACCAGTTTGTGTGTCATGCACCAGGTCTCTTGGATACTTTTTGGTGCATTTGCCGTCCTTTATGCACGGTGAATGTGGGTTTTGCGCTCCACACGGTCCGTGAATCATATATTTCTTGATAATCTGGTACAATTAAGGATCTTCTTGTGGATCTGGCAGCTCAGCAGAAATGATATTATCGATTTGAGTTGGAAGAATTTTTTCCTCCAACCAAATCAAGATGTGAGCATGTGGAGTGCCTCTTTTTTGCCATTCGATGGAATACATCCAGCAGCGTGTTGGACCGTATATATGGTTCTTAACGATGAGATCAATAAAACATTTCAATTTCTGTTTGAAAACTCTCGCTGTGAGGTCATGCCGATGAGATGACTGTTGGCCAGGCAGAAGTAGATTTTTGATTTCGGCCCATGCTGGATTGCAAGTGAATGTGAGGAAAAGATCTGGACGTCCATATGTGCGAACATAAGTCATAGCATCCTGAGCATATTCATGCATATGTCTCGGACTTCCAGTGTACGAAGCTGGAAGTATGACCATTTGCCCAATGTTCGCAGCAGCAGCGGCTCCATCATTCGCGATTGCATCCCGCAAATGAATGTATTGGTCAGCTCGAAGCTTTGACTGATTGAAGTGAATGTAGTTGAGACGTTCGCTTTCGACTTTGGCATACATGTCAACGATGAATTGTTGGAAAAGTTGACGACACTTCAGGATGGGGTTGGATTCTTGGGCTCGAATCATGATGCGATATGCATAGAAGTCCATACAGCTGACTTTTTCATTGTCACGGCGCCTGAGATAGGATGAACTTGATACAGTTCGAGATGATATCCGTCTTCACCGCGCGGAAAAAGTATTGGATATTGAAGGGCGTCGTACGATCGGTGCGTTTCAGCAACACGTTGCTTGGTTCCATCTCGTCTGCAGATAACAATATCTCGTCGGGCGATCTCTGTACCGACAATCACAGCTGCTACTTCAGGAGTCATCGGAGCATTGAAGCGTCGTTCATGCTCATTCGTCGGCGTCTTGTCTGCCCTGATGATGAATTTCATATCATCTGCTCGCACATTCTCTACTGCGGATTTGAAATCTCGGACCAAACAGTTGTGCTCGTGGAATAGCGTTTGTAATTCAGCGATGATTGCCCGCCTTGTTGCTTCACTGAATGCGCATCGTCGATCAATCTCCTCCTCCACGTTGTCCATGAAATAAATCTGCAAAAACCTCGGATCTTCATTGGGTACTGGAAGAAGTGAACAATGAAGAAAATATGGTAAATTTTCTGTCCATCAAATAGACGCGGAATTTATCCACACTCTCAACGATTGCTAGGCATTCTAATTCAGAGCTGGAGTAGTTCCGTTCATGTGAACGCAGGGAGCGGCTGAAGTATTGGACTGGGTAGGTCTTCCCATTGGGGTGGGCCTGTTTAAGGATGCCTGCTATGCCGAGGGTTGATGCGCTACAGTACACTTGGCATGGCAGACCTTCCTGGTAAATTTGTAAAGTGGGGTGTGTGGTGTGTCTTTCAGGCTAGTGAACGCTTTCTGGCATTTATCATCCTAAACCCACGTGACATCCTTTTTGAGAAGGTTGTTAAGTGGCGTCCGTAAGCGGGCGTAGTCCGAGACGAATTCTTTATAAGCGTTCACAGCGCTTAAGAAGGATCGCAATGTTTTGCGATCGTGTGGTTGTTGGATAGCGTGAATTGTTTCTATGTTTCGTGTTAGTGGTGTGGTGGTACTATCAGTAATGGTGCATGTGTTTGAGTTGTGTTTCTGTCGCCTTTTTGTGCGAGTGTCGCGCTTGTTGCGATGTTTACGCGTGTGACTGTGATGATGTGTGGTCATTGGTGTACCTAGTGTGAGAGTTGTTCTGTTGGATGGACACTGGTTGGGCAATTTTGGGGTGAGTTTGGGCTATTGTGGCATTGTGCATTGAGAGCATATAATAAGGACAATTGGCCTTAGTGAAATAATTGTGTTGTGCGTGCGCGTGACTACGAGGGTGAGTAGAAAAGTAAGGTCTCCTATTTTTTTTTTTCATAGAAAAACACATTTAATCACAACCTTTTATACATCATTGGAAAGGTTGGACACTTTGCTATTTTTCTACATAGTCGCCTTGATGCTCAATCACTTTTTTCATCCTGTCAACCAACTTTGTAATTCCGGTGTTGTACCACTCTCCCGCCGCCTCTTTGAGCCACTTGTCGACCTCTTCTTTCACCTCGTTGTCTGACGCAAATTTCTGTCCCCCAAGGTGTTTTTTGAGCGCTGGAAACATATGGTAATCGCTGGGGGCCAAATCGGGACTGTACGGAGGGTGTCCAAAGATATCCCAACCGAATTCTTCAAGTTTTGCGGTCGTTTGGCGTGAGACATGTGGGTTGGCATTGTCGTGAAGCAAAACCACTCCCTTGGTGAGTCGTCCCTGTCGTTTGTTCTGTATGGCTCGCCGCAGCTTGGTGAGAGTCTCGCAGTATCTTTCGGAGTTGATTGTTTCTCCTTTGTGCAGGTAATCCACCAGCAGAACCCCCTTCCTGTCCCAAAACACAATTGCCATAACCTTTCCCGCAGACAGCATTGTCTTGAACTTTTTGGGCTTTGGTGAGGTCGTGTGACGCCACTGTTTTGATTGTACTTTCGTTTCGGGGGTATAATGATGTGCCCACGCTGTATTTATCTGTGTTGTAAATTTCTTCCATAATTAAGTCATGATATAAATTTTTGCAGGTAATTGAGAAGTTGTTGGAGAATTTATCAATTGGAGTAATAATATAATCTTCTTGGATATTGTTGATGTTTTCTTTTAATGTTTGAAGGAGAAGTTTTTTTCACATTTTAGAGTATTGTGGTAGTATTCCTTGATTTGTTTGATAATTTCAAATTTCCAATTAAAGAAGGTAAATTCAGGTATCTTAGGCTTGTTCTAATAAATTAAGATCTTGGTTGATGGAATTAACCGTGTTGTAATTGTGGTTAATCGGAAGTATAAATTTATAGCTGTTGTTAAGCATAAGTTGTAATTCTTTATTTAAGAATGAAAAGTCACTAGTTATAATATGACCCTTAATTGCAATTATTAGGCGTTACTGTAACTTCCTGGTACAGCCGCTTGGGAAGTGACTCCAAGCGCTGCGGTCCTTCTGGGAGAGTTTTTCTGAGCAATGTGTTTCTACTCTTTTGAAGAGAGCTTTAACTACTCAAATTTTATGATGTACTGTGCCAAAAGAATTGAAATTTAAGTAATTTCCTGTGTGGATTGATTTTCTAAAAATTATTCTTTCATTTTGGTTATGCTTTCTTTCAAGTTGGATATCTAAAAATGCTAAATAATTATTATTTTCATGTGTGAGTCAATTACAGAGGGTGTTCACACTTATAGGGGGGGAAACAAGTTTTATTATAAAATATTAAAAATTAACACCATATTTGTAAAATTTCAAATGTTCTATTTGAAAACCTTTTTGCTTATTTACAGAACGGCACCTGATTTTCCACGATAGCAGACACTTTCTGATCATGGTCATACTCAAAAGATCCCATTCTTTCTTTACCACTTTCCAGAGACCTTCAATTGTCTTAGGGTGTCTTTCCAAGTGCTCTTTTAAGGCATCCAAAAATGCAAAAATCTATCGGGGCTAAATCAGGAGATTTTACAGGGATTCTGTTCTTTGGAATAGTGTTGATTCCTGTTCTTTGCCTTAGATCTTCCAAATAATCTTGGGTTGAAGATGAGGTATGACTTGTGGCGTTATCATGGTGAAACCAGACTTTGTTGCTCTGTTTTCCATAGATAGAGGGAATTCATTTAAAAATATAGGTTCTAAAATGTTGTTTTGATATTACTCCTAGTTTATTTTGGCATTTCTTTCAACTTTTCTTATTTTTAATTTTCCTTCATATGATATACCGCATGCCACCATAAATCCTTTTGGGTAACTTTCGGCACATTCCTTCAACCAAATTGGCCTAGATTTTTCCACCCTTTTTTGATAGTATATAGCTCTTTTTCTGTCGCAATTGGTTAAATATACCCATGCTTTGTCATATGTAACAATAAATTTCCATCTATCAGCAGCCAAGAAATTTTCATAAAAATATCTGCTGATAGTGTGTCGCTGACGAATATGGCTCTGAAACAATTTGTGAACCGCATGTTTTTTTGTAGCTTTTAGGCCTGTGGTTTTGTGGAGTGCTGCACTCCACACACCTCATTTCCCTTTTTGAGGCAAACTCTGGACTTGAATCTGGCTGGTTGATGGATTGCAAGGTTCTTGAATGTTTTCCACCATGTGTACCCCTTGTTCTTGGTACGGTCCAACTTGTAATAAAGCTGGGCCATGGACACTCGATAGAGAGCGTCGACACTAAATTGTGCGTAGCGCACTGGTGACAGTAGTCCTTGGGTGGAGACTGCGTCGAAACCAATGCCTCTGATGGTGATGGGCACGGCGTATTCAGTTGGGGTCTGCTTTTCAGCGGCCGCCAACACAGGAGGAGCTTAGATGAAGAGCCTGCTCTCCAATTCTTTCTTGAGATCAGACATAAGTTCAGCGTTCTTCTTTTCACGAAATTGGAGACTGCGCTGAGTTCGCTTTTCTTCATTCTTCTTCTTCAGGGCCTGTGGATGGAAGGCACTCCTGGGGTTATCACATTTCTTGGGGGGAGGAGGAGAGGTGAATTAAATTCACGTGAATCCTCACGATCATAACGTTGATGGGGACGGTCGATTGCGCTCTCGATGATAAGCCATATATACATACATCATCATATTGTTGAGTTCCCGTTTTTAGACCAATGGGAATGGAGCATGTAAGGAGTGACTTAGTAAAATTTCCTTATTAAGATATACAAGTGTGACATAGAAATAGACAAATATAGGACTTAAACAGCTAAGGTTATACTTGAGGAGATAGAATATCAGATAATATATAGGGTACAGAAGGATTTGAGGACTACGCAACCCCAAGTGAAAACTTTCTTCCATGCCAGGAGTGGGAGGGATCCCCAAAGGAGGCCCAAAATCGGGAGGCCCGTTGACAGGTCCTTCCTGGAATGTATAGGGCGTCGGGAAGGTCTATGGAATGTGGAGTTCCAACATCCACCCCCCCTTTTTTCCTTCTTCTTCTGCGAAAGAGATAATGGCGGGCCCCCCCAAAGAGGGCTCAGCTATCCCTTTATGAGACTTCTGGAATAATGTCCTTCCTTGACTTTATTCGCGAAAGCTAGTACGACTTATTCTTTACTATCCTCCCTCAATACCCTTGTCTAGCACCAATCTCTTCCAGAATTATCCATAGTCAATTTGTGGCATATACTGTGCAACATCCATGAAGTCATTATTGATTAGACAATCTATAAAGACACCTTCTGGCGATTTAGCAACCCACTGGAGACGCTGGGAACTATTTCAGAGAGGGAAATCATAGCAATAGATCTCTATAATTTCTACAGACCAATTGTAAATAGATCCATACACAAAAGATATAGTGCGGAAAGTTTAGGACAGATGTGTAAAGAGATTCCTCATTAAACTACGGCTCACATGTACTTGTGAAGAAAGGAGGGAAACATTGAATTATTCTCGTTCATACACTAAATTAAATGATCTATGAAGTAATGGTCGGCTCTCCCATCAAAATAGACGCTGGAATTGATCGCCATCCATTGGCCGCCTCTACAGACCAACGGACTCGGGTCCGTGACACGCCCATTTTGTGTCAAATTCCCTGAGATCATCCAACAACTTTAAGGGATCTCAGATAGAGATGAACCTGTTGTTATTAGAAACTATAAACCTGAATATAAGACCAAATTAACAATTTCTATAGAAGTATAATATGTTGGAATCATTATTTCAAAATTAGATATCAAGAAGTACCAGGTTCAGATTTTTATTAGTAATAAGATCTGCTTAAACATATAGGTATCCTTTTAATCCCGATTTTTATAACTAAGATTCAACAAAATGCGTTGAATTAGGTTACTATCTGGATATATGGAAAGGACTCTATTTGTAAAGATTATACCAAAATCCAACAAAATAAGCTATAAAAACAAGCAAGACTTATACTATTGACAATGACATTTGTAATATATTTAAAACAAAAAGGGTTTCAATAACATCATGAGGGGAACAAAACCAATGAGTGATAAGGCAACATGGGTCTTTACTAAGATTAAATCAACGAATAATATAATGGTAAGTATGATGGAAAAACACACTGAAACACAGGCAGGAGAGCTGGCCTATTTAATCACTGAGGGCATGACTGGCACTTTCGACAGTACATGTGGTCAGCAATTTATTGGAAGGCTTGATTGTTAGTAACATTCACTCCAAATAGGTAATAAAATTAGGGGGATATATGTACATATGGTACAGCAGCTCCCAGCACGGATGTCTCTGGATGTCACTCGTGTCTTCCTCTCCACCAGGCATCAGCTTTCGGCATGGAAGTCTGGTGTCCTCAAGTGTCTAGTTTTATTTGTACGTGTGCTCTTTGTACACCCTTCGTCTCGGCCCTTCTGCAGCGGGCTTTGGGTCTTTAGAGCACCGTCGGCCATCGTTGGGAGTTCTCCACCTAGGCAACAAACACCTCGGCAAGACACTGCGTATATGTTTATATGATGTAAATGAATGTTTACATCTTTGTTGGGTCTGTTTGGTGAAAATCTGACCCAACAATTCCTCCCCTGCCAGAGTAAAACAAAATGTGTTTATTCCAATTCAGATCTATTCTTACTCTATGAGTTAAGTCTTACTCTATGAAATTGGGAGAAATGCATTTTTTTTATGATACCAGTATGTAATCACTGACACTCTGGCAAAGGGGAAACAAACGGGCCATGGAACCTAGAACATGCTTACAGGAGGAAATTCTACCCTACCATTTAATGGGCAATGTACTAAGCCCATCCTCTCGCTGTCTGTATTCCGGGGAGTCTTGGCCCAGATGTGAGTCGAGTCCACATGTTCCCAGCCATAGTCCCTATGGTGGAGGTGTGGGATGGTCTAAGCACCGATTCTATACAAACAAATTCTTAGTACCTTCTAGGTAAACATAATTATTAAGGGCGCCAAGGAATTGTGCGTGTTAACATAGATATGTACAATTCCTAAAACATATCTAAAAAAAAAATAAAAAAAAAACATTATTAACTCTATATGATACATATGACAGCAAAGGAATGGCTATACATGGTTACAATGATAATGATAAAAAAAAATTGCAACTCCTATCAATGACATTAATAATAGGGCAAAACAGAAACGTGGGAAGTGAATATACATATTAAAGTTGCACGGATACGATGTATGCCAAAGTGGAGCAATGTAGGTATACGCGATGTTAAAAATAAAAATTAAAATGGATATTTACTATAAGTAGGAAGGGAATGGTTTGATATATATATATATAGGATATACTATGGTAAACAGATGAATATATAAATTGTGATTAGAATCTTCATTTGGTACATTTGTCCGAAGATGGTAACAATGCTGTTACTAAAATGTCACACATATTAATTATTTGTTCTGGAATCGATCTCGTTACCTTTATCTTTTTGTAGTCTATAGCCCAAACTGTGTCTTATCTATATATGAATATTCGTGCAGGTAATTAGGGAAAAGGGTAAACATGGTGGATGATACATTAAATGAGAAGATATCACCTCTGTATGATAAATATGCCAAACTCCAAAAAAAAAAAAAGATATATGGGAAGGAAATAACATTGATATGGGAGTGTATTATAATAACACTGATATGAGAATAATATTATGGTAAATAGACAAAAAAATATATATATATGCTGTGATTAAAACTTGTTTAGTGCATTTTATCTGAAGATGGTAACAACGCTGCTACCAAAATGTCACACATTTATAATCCGAATCGTGCTTTCTATATATACAAATATACATGAATATAATAAAGGAATGATACATGCTATATAGTAATAATGAGTATATAATGATAATAAAACGAACAGATATGCATTGAGGGTCTAGGTCATTTCACTAGTATTTCAAAATCTACATGTAATATCTTAAAACTTGTTCTTACCAACTCGTCACTGGGAGTGTTTGTCTGGTGTGTTCCCCGCTTCTCTTAAATCAAGGAAAATATTTAGGAAGGGAATCATGGTAGTCAATACGTCCCCAAGCCAGACTATTTCCAAATTACCTTATCTGTGGTGGCAATCTCACCTATCTTTGTTCTTAGCTGAACATTGTTGTTAACCCCTACTGTGCATAGTTTAGCTTGTCTATAGAATGTGTACTCATATTTTTGACCAACAAATCCACTTAAATAAAAAAAATACGTAAATTAACCCTGAAAATAAATTATGATGAATAATAAACTAGGTCTAACCCATATCTTGTGATATATTTTCCCACTTGAGTTCTTAGTACCTCTCTGAAAATTTTTGACTCTCTATCCAAAATAAAACAAAATAACCCATTGCTCTAGGCCATTTTACTGTCAAACAAAAAAAATTGATATTCGATCTTCCCCAAAAAGAAAAAAAATTATTCTTTTTCAAATCTGGGACGCTATATTGGCTTGTTCTGGCAATCTGCCTCAGAAGTTCATTTAGGTGGCCTACTAATTTAAAATTTATCTTAACATAGAACGAGTTATTCTCGTGAAAAAAAAATTCTACATACTAATTGGTGTTTAGACTTAAATTCGTTCCAACTAAACGTATGGTAGACTGATAGTCTTTAATTAGGTGATTAACTTTTGCTAGCCTGGGGCGATATAAAACGCAAAGAATCTGGACAGTCCATCTGTCACTTTGCTAATTGGTACCTAAACTCTGTAGACGGAATCGCTTCGTCTAATCATAACTTGTTTCTTACATGCTCAATTGTTAACCCTCATTAGAAAACCCCTTTAGACTTTGACTTAGAGACAAGGAGTTACAGGGAATTCGATTTCTTTACCCACCACATGTTTCTAAGCTCGTCCATCGGGGATTGGTTCCAGGCTGCGCAATATATAGAAGAGCATCCAACGTGCCGATCCTTTCCAACCTCCCGACTGGATCACCCTCATTTCAGCCACGCTTAAAGCGTCGTAAACTACGATGTCAGATCGGTTATCCGAGGTTTGTCGTTAAGCACCTTGCTTACGACATCGGCTACTAAATCCCCCACCTAGCACAAAGTTCACCTGATACCTTTCCGTTCCCTCTAAAGAGGAGAAGTTTTGTGGGCTTTCTGGTCTGATCATAACCTCCCACAACCTTCCAGTCTGAGAATCAAGACATGATCATAGTCTACAACTCTTAAAATTCAAGTTGATATAAATGACAAAGAGTACTTGAGTACTCCAATAAGAGAAATCATGCTCATACTCCTAAAAAAAAAAAAGAGAGCTAACAAAATGGAGCGAATATTTTCCTAGCAGTAGAGTTGTACAGCCCTGTGAGGCCATTCGATCCTAACAAATAAAGAAATCAAAATTGAAAATTGAACCTATTAAATTCCCTAACACTATTCTAAAGTACTTTTGGATTAACAGTATGTTAAACTTTAACTTTGTGGCTTCATTCATTGATCATTACATTCATTCATTACATTCGCGATCGCATTCAAACTAAAGTTAGACTCTATCATAAAAACCAAAATACTATAAAAATACCATTATCAATATGCCTTAATAGTAATAAATCTTCTAGGACAAATGTGAAATCAAATAAAATTAACAAGTTAAAACAGATCAGGGACCGAATCCCTGGTTTACTCAAATAAAAGAAATTGCCTCATACAAACTCTATATATATCAATTATCTATACATAGATAATTATTATTTATATTTAAACAAATTAATAAAATTTGATTATTAACAATCAAATGCTGAAATCTAACCTATCTTTAAAAGTGTGTCTAACAGTTTGAAAATCTTCTTCTTATCTTGACACAAGGTGTCTAAACAAAACGAATCGTCAAAACCAGCACTTAAATGGAGCGAACTGAACTTCAAGCATTTACCTCATTGCCAGGTATGATAGTTCTACAAGTGTTTTTCCAACCCTATTTCTTATATAGGTCATTGGCATTCCTTTTTCTCTGCTATTCAGCTAGACTCTTTCTTTGGACCGTATTCTGGACCCAGGGATTACAGGGAGTCAAGTTTTACCCAACGCAAGTTCCAAGTCTGTCCATAGAGAATTGGTTACAAGCACAGCAATTATCTAGTGCGTCTAAGCTTCCTAGTTATTCTTAAAGTTGAACCACTGTTCAGAACCTTCAATAAAAAAAAATCAACACAAAATATACTGTTGAACTCACGACTTGAATTACAACTTGCTATCAACACTGAATAGCCTTTTCAATTAAAAAAAAAAAAACTGAAAACTCCTTACAATGAACATTTAATACAAACACAAGGTTGTAATCTAAAAAAAAAAAAGAAAACTGAAATTCTTTAAAACCACAGTCTAGGGCCTTTAACTCACGTTATAACACTTCATAGTATGATCAAAGTTTAGCTAAACTCTAGTACACATTCTATAGGGTTTCTCATTGGCAGCCTGGGCACGATTTACACCCTGTGGGCTTCTTGACCCTGGTCGAACGGCGTATTTCAGGGCCGCCAACATTGCCACCAATTGCCCCATTCACTACCTCTAGCGGGCTTCTTACGGTTGTCGTCTCTTGTGGTTCCTCTGGTCCTACAGTTCTATGGGAATATATAGGATACGTTAGATGTACCCAGTGATCCTCATCATCAGTGACATCATCTATTTGTTCTCGTATGTTTCCGTCCCCCACAGGATAAGTTTTTACTGGGGCGTGGTAGGCCTTCATCCTGTCTATGTGGATTTTATCTAAGTTCCCCGTCTCCAAGTCCTTCAAAAGATAAACAGTGTCACCCGCCCTTTGTAATACCTCATATGGTCCTCTGTACCTTTGCTCAAATTTATGACGTCCTTTCGTCTCATGCATTCTCTTTACCAAAACTAGATCCCCTGCCTCAAAGGTCCTTAACTCTCTAGCTTCAAACTCAGCCCTGGCTCCTTGTTGCTCCTTCAAGTAAGTTTGCCTCACCATCTCTCTCGTTTTCTCAACCTCCTCCACCAATTCCCGCTCATAGAAAACCGCCATTTCGGTAATTGAATCTTCGCATACAGGATTAAGCTCCCCTTCCTGGAAAGGTTGTGGAAGCCTCAGCTCATGTCCGAAGACCAGTTTCGCTGGAGTAAACCCAGTACTAGCATGTACAGTGGTCCTGATAGCGAGAGCTACCATTGGTAAGGTGGTATCCCAGTTGTTCCCCGCCGTACACCTGCGTAAAGATTCTATTACCGTCCTATTGAGTCTTTCTACGGCGCCATTACTCCGAGGTCTCCAGGCTGTGGTATTTACTGCACCAACCCCCATGGCCTTGCAAACTCCCTTGAATACGCAACTCATGAATGCTGAACCTCGGTCAGAGAGTATTGTTTTTGGTACTCCAAAGGTAGTGATAATCCTCTCCAATAAGGCCCTAACCACTGTATTGGCACACTGGTCCTTAGTAGGAATCAGAATTGGGAACTTAGTAAATAGGTCCACAATAGTCAAGATACTTGAATAACCTCTTGGGGTTGTCTCCAATGGTCCTATGAAGTCGAGAGCTAGGTGCTCAAAGGGTTTTTTCGGGTCTAAAGTGGGGAGCACTAGCGGCTTTGGTTACGCCTTGATTTGATAGCTGACAGCTCTCGCATCTGCGTATATAATTCCGGACTTGAGTCCTCATGCCAGGCCAATAATAGCCACCCTTCAGCCTTCTCATAACCTTCTTAACTCCGAAATGACCTCCAGTAGGGATATCATGATGATAGCTGATCACTGTTTCCCTAAAACCTGTAGGAACCACCTTCACCCAGGTACCCCTTTCATTCTTTGTAACGAGGTAATTGTCTAGTAACCTATATTCCCGGTTATTATACCTCTCCGTGCTATTTGGTTCTAATTTTGTTAACTTATTTATTACTGGAACCCATCCTTTCTCTTGAAGTAAACCTTCCCATATCCGATTACTATTTAATAAGGGGGGCCGAAGGTCTCTTACCACCGCAGCCACCACCCTCCCATCTTGCGATAGGTTTGGATCATCCTCGCACGGGAACCTACTAAGAAAGTCGGCTACCGTGTTTTCCTTCCCCGGCACATATATGAATGTAACGTTGAAGTCTTGGATGATCTCTGCCCACCGAGACAGTCGAGCGTTCTTGTAATCAGACCCCTTATTATACGTAATCGGTTTATGGTCGGTATGTACTTCTACCCTACTGCCCACCAGGAGGTGTTTAAAGTGTTGCAGGGACAACACCACTGCATAAGCCTCCTTTTCTATTGTAGAATAGCGGATCTCAGGACCAGTCAGTCTCTTGCTATAATAAGCAATTGGTCTCACTGTCCCATTGACCTCCTGTTGGAGGCAGGCGCCTACCGCTATTCCACTGGCGTCAGTGTTCAGGATGAAAGGTATCCCTATTGTCGGGTGAATTAATAGTGGCTCGCTGGTCAACACTCCCTTCACGGTCTCAAAGGCTGACTGTTCGGCTACACCCCAAGCAAATCTATGTCCCTTCCTTAATAAGTTGCTCAGTGGAGCCAGGACCTCACCTGCGTTGGGGATAAAGCGTCGGTAATAGTTAACAGTACCCAATAGACTTCTGACTGCCTTGATGTTATGAGGTCGTTTCAAATCCCTGAGAGCGGCGACATTATCCCACATGGGTTTGATCCCATTTTTGTCAATCACATGACCCAGGTACTCTACCGAGTCCCTGAAGAGATAGCTCTTCCCGTATTTGGCCTTCAAACCGAACTTATTCAGGCGTCCGAGTACAGCGGCGAGGTCCGCTACATGCTGCTCGTGAGAGCCGCTGTAGACAATGACGTCATCGATGTACAGGCGGACGCATTTGAACAACAAGTCACCAAGGACCAAGTTCATGGCCCACTGGAAGACTTGTGCCGAGTTTTTAGCTCCTTGTGGCAAACGCGTGAAGCGGTATCTTCCCCAGGGTAGAGAAAAGGTAAAGTAATCTCTGTCACATTGTTAACAAATTACAAATTATGAATATACAATTGTTGAATATCTAGAAATTTCTCCTATCAATTTACCTAATCCCTTTAACACGTGCATGTGTCCATTGTCACTTAGAGACTGTTATTAGAAATTTCCTTCTCGTATTTATACAGTATGTGGCATAGTAATTAAAGGCTGCATCTCCACGAGTTCATCCCTCTTACAACATGCTGAAATGAAATCAAATGTGGTTATAAGATCACTGTCTATGGGGTAACAGGTGCATATTGGATTGGGAAATGGCAAAGTTATTTCGCCCTTTAAGATACTAATTGTGACTGAGTTTTCTGCTGAGTTATGATGATACACTGTGAATTTGGTAGGGAAATTAATTTGTAGGATTGTGTTGCATATCAGGGGTTTTGTTTGTTCCTGGGTTAGAAATTTTTTATATTATTACTTATTACTGTCAGTCTGATAATTACATTCCTGGCTCATGAGATAGGTGTGCAACTTGCATAATTCACTGTGGAAATATATGTGGACATTTAAGAATTTACAGAGGTATATCTAATATGGAGTCGTCACCTCAGCTCGATCTATCCACATTTTTGTTCTGGAATTTAGCGCCATATTCTAGATGGACTTCACTGCCTCATCTATTGTCCAGGCGTATCACCTTGAGTGTCAATTTTTAGGAAACGTCATCTCGTCCTAGACCTTTCTTCTCTTCATGCTGGCACATCTTCAATGACATTTCCTATATGGGGGACACACCCTTTAAGCGGTCTATCGGCATCCAGTGATCAAACTTGGCAGAAAACGTCGTCAAAGGGGGCCGCCCTCCTCGCGTGTCTAGCCATCTAACCAATCACGATACCGCCTCACGCCTACAGGTTCCGAATTACATTCAATGTAATATCTTTGCTCGGGTGTCCCGACTTTATAAATCCTTATTCATATCCTTTAGGTGATATTACCCCGCACTGGAGACTCGCATTCCGCTAACTTCCTCATTATACACAAGTGTCAAATCGAGCCTCGATAAACTCTCCTGTCTCCTATACCCCCATTATTAGATAGATCCTGTCTTTAACACAGGTGGCTTTTGCTGCCTTGTCATCAACTTAAAGCTGTCCACGCGTGCCTCGGGATATCTCAGCTGTCTTGCAGACACAAGCTCCAGTCATCTCCTTTCCTTTGAATATTTTTAAAGATTATCCCAGGTAGTTGTCATAAGTTAATAAATAGTTCCACAGTGATTAAAAAATACTCGCGCAAATTGGTTACCATATCTATTCCTTGAGATTCTGCCATTGGAATGTTAAAACCAGATTTCTATCCATTATTGATTTCAAATTTAAAAAAAAAAAGGTTTACGAAGAGAAAAATAAAATTGCGTCCTTTCTATGGTGATCAAACTTCTCTCTTCACGGGTACGCTAACTGGATCCTCTATTCTATTTCCACCTTAAGGCTCATGTATTTGTCACTCTCTCAATCCACTATGCGCTGGAGAAAAAAATCGATTAACTATCTCTTAGCATGCTAGCCCTAATCTGGATGTACAGGCTAGCATAACTTGATAGAAGCACTATTAAAATAAAGTTAAGAAATTGTAGCCAGCAATAATTATCAGAACTCACCTCTGCTGTGAGAGAAATTATATCAGAGCTATGATGAAAAAAAAAATATGCTAAGTCATTTCAGTAGACTACTGTAAAACACCGATCACCGTTCTAAATTTGAACCATGGTAACCCAACCTCATTTCTCATACTGTATAAAATGATTAAAACTAAATAAAAGCTTGTAAATAATAAATTATTAGGGCTTTGTCCCAAACAATGTGAATCGTAGGTGACAGCGGCGAGTGATGCGGTAGACATCGCCTCAACTTAACTTTCATTGCCTGATAAAAGTGCCAGTGAAACGGAAAGCATAAATTAAAATTCACGATTTAAAATCATAACAGTAGGTGTGGTTAGAAAACTGAAAGGACGCTATGAATAGCTCTTAAAATTAGCGGGAAATCTCAAGGCAACAACATGACATTCCTAAGTAAGACCACTGGAAATTTTGTAAGTCACTCTAGATATAGACTCCTAACTCAGGGTGTGGACTACTTCACCAATTTAATTAATTAAATAATTAAATAGTATGGCTTTTTATTAGGTATATATTTCTAAAGTATTTAAGATGAAATATATACTAAATTCGGGCCCCGCGTTGGGCGCCATTGTTGAATTCCCGATTTTAGACCAATGGGAATAGAGCATGTAAGGAGTGACTTAGTAAAATTTCCTTATTAAGATATACAAGTGTGACATAGAAATAGACAAATATAGGACTTAAACAGCTAAGGTTATACTTGAGGAGATAGAATATCAGATAATATATAGGGTACAGAAGGATTTGAGGACTACGCAACCCCAAGTGAAAACTTTCTTCCATGCCAGGCGTGGGAGGGATCCCCCAAAGGAGGCCCAAAATCGGGAGGCCCGTTGACAGGTCCTTCCTGGAATATATAGGGCATCGGGAAGGTCTATGGAATGTGGAGTTCCAACGTCCACCCCCCCTTTTTCCTTCTTCTTCTACGAAAGAGATAATGGCGGGCCCCCCCAAAGAGGGCTCAGCTATCCCTTTATGAGACTTCTGGAATAATGTCCTTCCTTGACTTTATTCGCGAAAGCTAGTACGACTTATTCTTTACTATCCTCCCTCAATACCCTTGTCTAGCACCAATCTCTTCCAGAATTATCCATTATCCACTTTCGACAGTACATGTGGTCAGCAATTTATTGGAAGGCTTGATTGTTAGTAACATTCCCTCCAAATAGGTAATAATCATACAATATTTCATTTAAACAGTGAAAGAAGGGCAAATTCCTCATATAAAAATACCTATTACTAAAACCTGACAAAGAGATACCCTCAAAGCGGGTAGAATCATATTTACCGCTGTTTCTGTGTTAAAGTATCACAATAAGGTACAATACACAACTCCATTCCATTAGAGCCGGAAGCTCTATATTTCAGTACAATTTGTAATAATAAGATGTGGGGGGTAGTACCATAAAACAAAAGAATGAAAAATGTATGAGGGGAAACAAAACTCTCCATATAAGTTGTATACTAGATATTTATTCAGATTAGGTAAAAATTTTGGGGACATTTCCATACTAGCGAGATATGCTATTTACATAATGATCTAGATAGAGGTGACTTAAGGTTACAAATTTGCCTTTATAAAGGGGAAAGCCTAGATCTCCATCTATTCTGGCGGGACAAAATATAAGATCCTTATCATTCCCTTTAAGTTACTTAAAGCCCTTTAGGGCCCATGCGAAATCTAAATAAATTAGTTTCTGCTCGAAAAAAGGGGGTCCTAAGCCATAATGGCGAGGGGCTTACCTTCTCTCGAAAGCGGCGGCAAGGTCTGGTCTCCTCTACGTCTCAGGCCCGACTGTCGACTCTGGTTGAATCTCTCCTGTCACTGAGTGACTCTGTGTATGTCCCCCGATTTAGCAAAGAAAGCCTCTTTTATCCTTGCCTCTCTCCATTTTCATTCGCTGCTCACGCCAAAGTTTCTATTGGCTGGCATTTTCATTCGTCGAAAGCCAACACGCACGTGATCATGGCCACGCCTCCAATTTACCGTGTTGCCGCGTGAAAAAAAAAATTGTATATTGAAAAACAAATTAATTCCTTTAGGAAATTAAATAATATATATATCCCGAGTATTTAAAAAAAAAAAAGGTTATTGATTTAAATGTTTATATGACAAATTGTTTTCCTTTGGTCACCTCTAACTAAAATGAGGGGGATATATGTACATATGGTACAGCAGCTCCCAGCACGGATGTCTCTGGATGTCACTCGTGTCTTCCTCTCCACCAGGCATCAGCTTTCGGCATGGAAGTCTGGTGTCCTCAAGTGTCTAGTTTTATTTGTATGTGTGCTCTTTGTACACCCTTCGTCTCGGCCCTTCTGCAGCGGGCTTTGGGTCTTTAGAGCACCGTCGGCCATCGTTGGGAGTTCTCCACCTAGGCAACAAACACCTCGGCGAGACTCTGCGTATATGTTTATATGATGTAAATGAATGTTTACATCTTTGTTGGGTCTGTTTGGTGAAAATCTGACCCAACAATATCATTTAGATCCACTCCTCCCATATACTTATCATAAATATTTTTTACCTGGGGATACTCAGAGTTTGGTCTTCTTGGCTTGGTTTCAGAGATTGTATCACAGTAGGTGGACAAGAATCTTACAGGTGGTTTAGAAGGTTTTTCCTTGTAGTTGTGAATGCTTCTCAGGAACGTTGTAATATGGTGTTGGATGTTTTCCTTTCATCTCTCTCGAAAATAATTTCGGTGTCCGAAGAACTGCTTGATTCTAAATCTAAATCCAGATCATAAACCTCAGTACAGGAGTCATTTTCTGAGGACATTTTACTAAAAAAATATTGTTTACAAAAAGAACCAGAAAAATAAGCAATCAACTGGACAGGAAGGAGAAATGTTTAGCTGTAATATGACTTAGTGGTTATATCTCCCACAGCCACTCGCATGTTTTCAATAAAACTAATTTTTCTAACTCTCTTCCACAAAATTGAGCTTTTAGGCAAGCATTTATCTCATCTGCAGGTGTAGATTTCGGTATTACTGGAAGGGTTTGCCGGAAATCTCTACAGAGAACCACCAGTGCTCCTCCCATAAGGTTCTCATTACCCCTCATGTGACATTCATGGCTTCTAGAGCTTTCTTGTGTGCCATTGTGCACTCATCCCAAACAATCAACTTACATGTTCGTAACACTTGTGCCATACCACTTTTCTTGCTAATATTACAGGTAGGACTCTGTTGCCTGGCAATATCTAACGGTAGTTTAAAAGCTGAATGGGCTGTTCTTCCTCCATCCATCACCGTGGCAGCAATCCCAGATGAGGCGATGGCAAGGGCCACTTCACCCTGCGATCTTATCTCGGCCAGTAATAAATTTGTCAAAAATGAACATGAAGTGGGTATCTTCTTTGGAAGGGATCACCTGATTTGAACGCAGATTTCTTTTATTGTAGCTAGTCTGTTGTCTTGTAACCCTTGTTGATCTTCTGAGGAGGAGGGCATCACTAATAGACATGTCAGCTCCTCTTCTCTGTCGTTGCCTTCTGGTTGCCTGTCGTTGTCTTCTGGCTTTTTTTTAGGGTGTTTGAAACAATGTCTCTGTCTAATACTACTGAACATGAAGTGGAGGGGGGAGATCATGTGACGGCTGATTGGATGACTCAAGTTCATCGACGACCGATCGGCCGGCTTGCGCCTAAAGGGTTAAAGCTGAAATAACTGTATGGGAATTTTTGGTTAGTGATTGGTGAGTCAATTAGTTGATTGGCAGATTACTGAGTGAACACAAAAGATTTGGTAATGGCTGGTGAGTCAGTATGTGGTGTACCGAAATTGGAGGAGTCAACACGCGAGTCTGTTTGTTCTGGTCATAGGGCTGAGAGGCCAAGTTGAGCTCATTGAAGAGCTTGTGGAGCCTCACAGACCCGGGACTGATGTCGTTCCGCATGGCTTCCAGTTGCCGGAAGAAGTATTCCGCTGGATAGGTCCTGTCGTAAGATGCCATAGTAGTTGGGCCGGATGAAAGTGGCGGGCGGCGCAAAAATGTCCATGTAGCGTTCCCCATCTATTGCGATTTCACCGCCACTCTGTGTTGTGACGACGATCTAAGTTCTATAGAGGTAGTCGATCACCTCTATTCTTGGTCGGCGGGGGTTGAAGGTTCAAAATTAAGGTGTCGCTGCTTATAGCACTATTAAAATATTAGACGAAAACAGGAGGGAAAATTATATTTATTATAATTTAAGAAAATAAGTAAAGTATTATTTAATTAATTATATATTTAAATATTTACACTAAAAGAATCGGAGATCAAGGCAAATTCTAGCGTTCAAAAGTTGTTTACAGGTTCTTCTGTTTTTGTTTACTCATTTTAGCTGCTGCATCCCCGTAGCCGCTTCCGTCGGCCTCCCATTGGCTGCTTCGAACTCGTTCTTTTCCAACACCATCCATAGTCCTATTGTCATGTTCCGCCTTGTTATCCTGTCGACTCAGCCTTAAACTGTCATAGTTTAAGGTAAAGCCAATAGGTGTATTGTGGCAGTCAAGCGGCAATGAGTTATGGAAATTTTCCGCCAGGCGGAGAGTGACAAGGACCATGATTGACAACACACTTCGGTGATGTCCAAAGTAATATACCTGGGAGGATTTTCTTGACCTTCCTTGACGCTGTTCCCTACAATAATGAACTATATGTCCGGGTTGTTCGCAGTGGATACCGATGGGTTTGTTGTCTTAGGTTCTCTATTGTTCATTTTCCTGGGTTGGGCTGGTCGGTTTAAATAATAAGGCGTGCATGGTTGTTGTTGCACAACGTTAATTTGTGGTCTTATAGGTTGGAGAGCACGGCTGTTCCAGGGTGTTCACTTCTCAGAGAGGATTGACCACTACAGGTGCTGGGAAGACCTTTTGAAATACTTCTCTAACAATGCAGCCAATTAAGCTGGCCAAGTTGGCTTATGATGATTTAAAGGAGATTAGAATGAGAATATGAAAATTTTCCGATTCTCTTAGATATAATGCTTAATGTCAGTTTACCGTTACATACAGTAATCTTCCATTATATTAAGAAAATATGGACATCATTCAAATATAGATTTTAATATTAGATAAGTAGACCAGTACCTGATATACAAGGAAGAATAGGATTTGGTGTTTCATATCAATTAAATTGATTGTTCATTCTCTTCCCCCCCCCCCCCCCCCCCCCCCCCCCTTGATAAGTAATTTTATTATTAATTATTATTATATTATTTATTATACAATTAATTGATATGTATGCTTTTGGATGAAAATTTTCAATGGAATTATAGTAATCATTGTAAAGGAAGAAATAAAGAACAGCAAAAATAAATGGTAAGGCATTAGTCTCTTAAAATAATCCTTTTATTAATTTATAAAATTCATTCATGAATATTTGTCTTCAGGTGCAGGTGTTGGATTCTTCAATGTGATTTGGGAAAGATACTAGAAGCTTGCTGATGTTTTAAGCTGTGCTTGCTTGGATTCTGTCTATTTTGGATAGATTGCTTTTATTTGCATTGGTACAGGCTGGGGCAGCATATTCCAAAATACAAGGTACTTACAAATGCAAGGTATGTTGTGTGTAAGACAATTGACAATTAAAATAATTTTATTGACATCTTGTCAATACATGCAAAGTGCACAGTCTGTACTGTTTAAAAAAAAAAAGATAATATGGATTATATTAACTATGTACAATAAATATGGCGCCTCGGCCACCGCTGCAGAGTTTGGTGGAGAATCTGGAGGAGATGGTGATGGCGTGGTCCTCGAGACCAACTGGAAAGATCCAGGACTGTTGTGTGTAAGATATTGGCATTTGCACCCCAGTTTAGGCTTGGTATTTTTTTGAGAATTCGTAACTTATTTTTAGCTTTGTGTTTTATGGTGTCAATGTTTTTTAAAGGTGAGAGCAAGGTCAAGTGTGACACCAAAGATATCTTGGGGATTCTGAATATTTGACTATTGAGTTATTCAAAAAAATATTTGTTGTCCAGTTGTTAAAATCAATAAAGATTTTGAATTTTTTTCCCCCGCTTGTAGAAATACAAGATTGAATCAAGGAAAAGGTGATTTATTAAGCAAGGTACTAAAAACAAGATGTTAGCATGGTAATATAAAAAATGTGGGTGTTGGAAATATGAGGGGCAAAAACTATATACAAAGACGTTGACTTCGGCGCCGCTGTGGCTGTTGATTGGTCGATCATTCCTTTAACGTTCTATAAATATTTTTATCGTTATTCCGACCAAAGAGGCCTATTTAGTCCACAAATTACCCATCTAGCCCACCTACCTCTTAATCTAGCAACCCAAAATCCAGAATTGGAAAAAGGAGGCCAGGCCAGTGGCATGTGCTTTTAGCAACTGCTCTTGTTTTTGTTTTTTTTGTTGTTGCTGTTGCTGCCCTTCGCTTCCAGGAAAAAATTTACTTGCTAGTGGAGGCCTGTTGTTATTAGTTGGTTTAAAACAATCAATGCCTTACACAAACAATTTACTTTGGAAGAACAACCATTATTTATTTTTATCTTCGGCTGCAGGTTGCATCTATTCTGACATGAACAAACTATCTTGAACTAAATATTTTTATATTGATGATTTATATATGATTTTTTATTTAAATTTACATAGATAGATGTGATAGATGTGTGATGATAGATAACATAGTTTCTATTGTTTACATTCTATGTACAGAACTGTGTTGCTGAGTTAAAATATAATATCAATTATATTACATCTTTGCTTTTTTTACAAATCCAGTCTTTTCGGTGGCTTCACCAGGCGACTGCTTCTCGTGAACTTGTGTTCCACCCTGGTCTCTACCTCTTTAGCTGAACTATCAGTTTCTGACTGGCCTATTGGAGAGAGTGAAACTATCACAACTGTGTGCGAAGGTAATGAGGATTTCTAGATCTTTTTGTTTGAGAATAAATCTCTGGAGGCGGGGATATGGGGGACTTCCATTTTAAAAGAAGGGAAGGAAGAGGAAGGTCTGTAAAGTGTGGATAAGAGTTTGTTCATAAGGTCCAAAAAGAACACCCACATAAGAGCGAAGTATGCAAAAGTTAATTATCTTTAAACACATATCCATAATAAATGCATGTCTGGAATTCCTGAATGATGCAATTATTTGTTACAATCCGTCATCACTAACAATAAATGAAAGCTTATATTTGAATCATTTTCAAAGGATAAAATAAGTGCTGTTATGCTTACCATCTAAATGTGAAATGTAATCTATATGACTTACCTGATTAAACTGGAATTAGTTCAATAAGTATATTGTAAATGAAGATGCTCTACATAATTTTTATTTTAGTTTATAATATAAATTGAGAAATATTATATGTTACATGTTCATTAATGTTAAATTAATAACCAATGTTACATATTGTTTATGCAAATTTACTTGTTTATATATTTGTGTTTGTATATATATATATGTAAATATGTATATATTTATGATGTTAAGCTCCTAACCAAATGTATCTTGAATATTTTGTATAATAAATATGTTTACACTTTTATGTCTGCATTTATTTATTTATTTACATAACAGCAAAGGGCATACATTCAATGATCAATATCTCAAGATGGTGTGACAATCATTCAATTGACAGGATATTATGCAAAGTATATTTAAAAAATCAAAAAGCCTTCTTGGTCAAATTTTGTGGTAAGCGACTGCTTTTAGTGTAAGTACACCACATGTCTACACAGGTGAAAAGCAGTTTGACTTTTGCCCTTACAAGTGTGCCAGAGCCCTGTTTGATTACTTGCACTCGCTGGTGGGGTTAGATTTTTGCATGAATCGGGGGCCATTGTAACTTTTTTTTTTTTTGAAAAAGTGCTCAATGCAGGATTTGATTCCGGATCATAGAGGTTGAAAACCCAATAGATTAGTCCACCCTTACACTGATCCTCATAATGAATGCATAAACATCTTTTGATGTTATAGTGGTGATGCTTATCTCCTCAGACCATGTCTAGAAGTCCGTTCTTCTTTGTAAGAAGAGTAGAATTCATATATACCGAGTAGTTAGATGTGTTTCTTTTCAATGAGAATATCTGGGGCATTACAAAGGTAGGAATATGACTTTGCCTGATAAAGTTTAGCTGGGCTTAGTAGGATGATGGTCCTACCAGGAGTAAAAGACATACTGTCCTGCCCAGGATGCCAATGCTGAGGCAATTAACAGGACTTGGGAAGGTTTTTGATGTTATAATAAAACTGTACACTAAGTTTTACACATAAGAGTTTCCCTCTGTTCAGAAACATTTGTTTATGAGGTTGAATGCTAACAAGTGAATAATGTGCCTACCTTTTTTGTTAGTCTTTTTTCTCAGAATGGTAGAAAGTGAACTGTTTATCTCCACATAAACACAAGGTAATAAAGCCAAATTCAAATAAATAAATAAATAGTGTGTGACGTTTCGGTAACGGCGGTTACATTTATTTGGATTTGGTCTTTATTACCTTGTGTTTATAAACTATAATCCAAATTATGCATTAGCCTCTCTCCACATGTTTGCTTGCCTCTTCTAAAGCTTTCTGAAATATAAGTTATATAAGCAGCTGTGGCCAAAAAGTACCCACAAAGAAACATTGCATATTTGGCAAGAATCCTCCATTTTGTTTCAAGTGAACAACTCACAAGTACAGGTGAAAAATTAATGATGGAGATTCAGCCTTTCTTTTGCCCACCATTACAGCTCCACTGCAAAACTTCTTGATTTACAGGATAAAATAATAGGTAGAAAATCTAGGCTCACCAGAAACCTTGCAAAATCCAAACCCAGCCACAACATTTTCAGATTCAGCAATGATTATTTTTTGTGGAATGCCAGATTGGGAAAATATCCACTTTGTAGAGAAAAATTTACTTGTACTAAAGTGAAATGTAAGCTAATGGCAAAAGCAGAAAGATGCTGTTTCACACCACACTAGAGAGAAATAAATCTCAAAAGGTGTTATAAATGCAGTAAAATATTATATTTGGCCATGGACTATTACGGGTAGAAAGTAATAAAGCACGAAGTAGTAATAACACCCGATGGTCCTAAATCCAAACCTTGGTTCGACCGTGAGTGCTACTTAACAAAAAAAGCTCTAAAATCTCAGCTTAAAATCTACATAAGATCAAACAGTGAAGGTGACCGCAAGGCATACACTTTATTAAAAAAGAAATACTCATCACTTCTGACCGACAAAAAGAAAACCTACTATATTGAAATACAAGAGAGGCTGAAGGAGGTGAGGGACTCTGCGGGTTTTTGGAAAACAATATCACTGTTTAAAAATAGAAGAACAACTCTCGGAAACATTTCTATTCAAAAATGGCAACAATTTTATACCGAACTTCTCACGACTTCGCCACCAGTCAAGTACGATTTGTCCATAAGAGTTATACTGATGCCAGACGACGAGTTAATGGCCGAAATATCCTTGTCGGAGATAACTGGAGAAATTGCTCGTTTGAAGCGCAATAAGGCTTGTGGACTTGATAATATTCCTAATGAAGCTATAAAAGCCTTGCCCCCAGCTTATTTGACTGCCTTAAAAGATATTTTCAATAGAGTTCTAAAAACTGGTCATTTCCCAACAACTTGGTGCAAAACAATTATACATCCCATCTTTAAAAATGGTGATGCCGACAATCCTCACAATTATCGGGGAATAGCACTTCTAAGCTTTTCTCATCAATAATGAAAATACGACTAAGCAAAACTGGACCGAAAATAGAGCAATTATACCGGAAAATCAAGCGGGTTTCAGAAAAGAACATTCATGCCAGGATCATATTTTTACTTTAGTCTCACTAATCCAATTAACACTTAGACGTAAAAGACGAAAGTTCTACGCTTTCTTTATCAATCTTAAAAAGGCTTTTGATACGGTGCCCCAAGCCCTCCTATGGAAAAAACTGCTAGACATTGGATTGAATTTCCGATTTATAAATCTAATTAAGAATTACTACGAAAACATGACAGCTGCGGTGAGATGGAACAATTCATTCACTGAATTTATCAAAATAAAATCCGGAGTGCTACAGGGTGAGCCACTATCTCCTTACTTATTCATACTTTTTATTAACGACCTGATTAGTACTTTTGACTGTTCTGATATACCTGGTATTTATCTGCCAAAGCATGGAAATATCCATTTGTTACTATATGCAGATGATATTGTACTGATAGGCGAATCTAAGAACAATTTGCAGTTAAAAATTAATATGGTACGAAAATATTTTGAAGAAAATATGCTAACGCTGAACGAAAACAAATAAAAAATAATGGTATTTCACAATGGTGGGAAGCGGTCAAAATCCGATAATTGGTATTGGGGACAACAACTACTGAATGTCACGGAAAGATACATGTGTCTAGGATATCCACTCTCCTCAACAAACTCTTTTAAGCAAGCCGCATTATACTATAAGGGCAAAGCTCTCGCTGCCAGTGGTGCGGTATAGCCTATTTTGACCAGGTCGAAGATGAACTCTTTTAAATCCTCTATGAAACTTCTTGACGCGATGGTAATATCAACCCTGCTATACGCGGCACCTGTTTGGGCAAATGAGCATACATTAATTGTTGATCAAATTCAGGACTCATTAATGCGAAGATATCTAAATTTACCTAGATACACCCCCGGATACATGCTCAGGATAGAACTGGGAAGAGTATCACTCAGCGTTACAGTCTTGAAACTTACCTTAAAGTTCTGGTTGAGAATGCTGGGAATGGGTGAAACTAGATTGCCGCTGCTCTGCTTGTCCCAGCTGTGGGAAATCTCAAACGCAACGAAAAAATGTATAGGTTTCACAGGAAGTATAGTTAATATTTTAAACACCACCGGATTTCAATGGTTGAATTTCTGCACAGACTATAGAACATTACAAAGAGAAATTCCCCACATAATCAGGACTGCAATAGATCAATCTCTGCAAAAGGATCACACAAGAATAACAAATTCAAAACTATACCCACACTATAAAAACATCTGCTCAACTCCGTTACCGGAACACTATCTGGCCAGCGATTTCCCGCTCCGGGTCAAACGGTGTATTGCCGGACTGAGAATCCTCTCTGTGCTCTTTACTGATGATCGCCCCAAAATATTTAAAACAGACCGATGGACATGCGAGATGTCCGGGACAAGAATGGAGCCGGGGCTACATCACCATATACTCTCATGTATGGGGCTAAAAGAGGAACGAGAAGTGCTCCTCAGTGAAATAGGCCTTGATGGACTCTCTTTGGAGCTCCTGTTGAATGAGGTGGTGAGAAACAGAGCTGGAGCGTTTGCGTTGTTCAAATTTTGGAAAACGGCTGAAGAGAAGAGGAAGTTATATACATAATATAATTGATGTAAATAATTATATGTAAATAATCTTTGTCAGGATTTGAATGAATAATCCTGTATGGGACTTTGATTCCAGTAAAAGGCTTGTTGTTGCGGTTGTATATAGTCACAGTGTAGAAAATACTACACTATACCTACTACTTATAGGTTTCTTTCTGTATTCTTAGTTCTCTTCTCTTCAATTACTCTGTAAACTGGCGAATCCTATATAGGACGAGAGATCCTCAATAAAGGCTTTTGTTGTTGTAAATATTTTGAGTCAAAAGGCGATCCTTTAATTAAGATTATATAAAAGGGCAAACCTGGATCTGTAAAGAAAAAAAAAACTTTCTTTACAGATCCAGATACACCCTTTTATATAATCTTAATATTAAATATTGTCAATTTTTTTTATGACACAAATTGCACATCAATTTATAATAATGAGAACACATTTGCGGACATTTATATAAAAGATCATATAAGATTTTCTTAAGAAAATGAATGGACAAATAGGATTGTCAGAGTGAAACAATAAACTGGCGAATAATCGAAACGAAAAAAGTGTCAAAGTGGGTCATTATATGCCAGAAATTTCCAATAAATTTATTGAGGGATTTGTACAAGCAGAGGATGGCGAATACATCATCGAGGAGAGCAGCAAAATGTTTTAAACAAATGGACTTTGATTAGCAAGCAGCTTGATCAATGTTGTGAATAAGGAAACCCATATCTGGATAACAAACCCTTATCCACGAGCATTAAAAATAATTAAAAATCAAACATTTTGTCTTTAAAGCCAAATGAATCTTATGGAAGAAAGTAACAAATAAGTGAAAATTTATCATATAAGGAAAAGAAGCAATTGAAACAAGTTTTACCAAAGTCCACGATTTGTTTTGGTCAGGATTAGGGAAAACCAACTTAGCAAAACACTGGATTGATATTGGAGACGTGAAACCGATTAAATACAAGTAATACAGTGCTAAAGAGCTAGAAATAATAAAAGATCAAAAACACGAGGTATTAAGTCCAAATCTAAATAAATAGTGTGTGATGCTTCAGTAACAATGCTGTTCCCAAAACGTCACACACTATTTATTTATTTGAATTTGGTCTTATATTACCTTGTGTTTCTAATCTACAATCCAAATTGTGCCTTATCAATAAAAGATCAAATTGATGAAATGCTCAGAGACGGCATAATTAGGCCATCTTCAAGCCTCTTGTCTTACTCCGTAATATTGTATTATATTTTCTTATGGTGTGTGTAGGATTTAGAAAATGTCAGCAGTTGACATAATGATGATAATAACATTGTAATGACAACAATACTCTGTTTCCAATACACAATTCTCCCCTCTAAAACAAGTCAGTCTTTGAGGTAACTAGGATGTTGAATATTGCTTTAGTGTCTATCCCGAAGTTCCTGCCCTCTATCTTGGATGGGTGGTGGTGGCCTTTCCTAAATCCTACACGCCATCAAGGATATAACATGTAGGAAAGCCTAGCAGGTGACAGGACGATGATAAATGTTGTTGTTGTTGCTTATTCCTCAAGTCATTTAAACAATCTCCATTAGGTTTCATTGTCTCAGCTTTTCTATTATAGTCCTGTATACAACATGAAGAAGGAAAGAAGGGTGTACCTGCTGTTGGTCTGAAGACCTGGAAGTACCACTCAGTGTGACTTTGCTTCTTTTGGTCTCCTGACATGGAGTGTAGCCGCTCCTACAGACGCTACCAATTGATACCTTCCTACATTAGCTGGGTATTATACAATGATATATAACATAGTTAATGGCAACAATTTTTTTTGTTGTTGCCAATATATTGGTCAAGAAGCTAGATTACAGAAAATTGAATGACATAACAGTTAAAGATGTCTATCCAATTTCCAGAATGGATAGAAGGAAAAGAAAATGAAAGCCCCGACGAATCTCGCTCGCTGATACAAAAACTAATAACAGATAAGATGCAATATCAGAGGAAATTGAAATACAACAATGCAGAAGATTGTCCAGGAAGGTCAATTCACCACTTCTCATTGAGGTACCCAAATTTAAAGAGAAAGAATTGTACTTTTGAAGAATTCATTCAAGCTCAGAGACAACAATTTTTTTTTAAATAAAGGTTACCCTCCAAATATTGTAAATCAGAGAAAACTACTAATTAGAAAAAGAAAAGAACTCCTTGATAGAGGAATAAGGGCTAAATTGAGAGACAATACCTTATTAGTGGGAAACACAAGATACTATGTTTCAAATGACCAAGTTATGGACCAGGGAGGTAAACTTTTATAGCAACATATAGTTATTAAACATTCTAATTGATAAGGCACAATTTGGATTTAAGATTATAAACACAAGGTAATAAGACCAAATCCAAATAAATAAATAGTATGTGACGTTTCGGTAACAGCGTTGTTACCATCTTCAGACAAAAGTACTGAATGAGAGAATTTTACCACAGCATGCTTTTAAATAGTTCCTGTTATCAAGTGTGTAAACAAGATAACAGGAACTATTTAAAAGCAT